TGATTTTTGGAAAATGGCTGCAATGAAACAAAGAGTGAAAAATTTAAAGGGGTCTGAATACTTTCCGTACCCACTGTATATATCTCTCTCTCTCTCTCTCTCTCTCTCTCTCTCTCTCTCTCTCTCTCTCTCTCTCTCTCTCTCTCTCTCTCTCTCTCTCTCTCTCTCTCTCTCCTCTAGATATATATATATATATATAGATATAGATATATAGATATATCTATCTATATATAGATATAGATATATCTATCTATATATATCTATATCTATCTATATCTATATATATCTATATATATCTATATCTATATCTATATCTATAAACTTATTTGCTTCCACCTTTGTCTCTACCACTATTCTAAATCAATAGGACAGTGATTTCCAGGCTGTCATTTCAATTCCATCCTGTCAGTTTTACAGACTGTAGCCCTGACACCAGGATCACAGTGGTCCCTGCACTCTCTCAATCATCTGTCATCATCACATTTGTCATGGAGCGTTAAGACATTTGACACCTCATACTCCTCACAAAAACAGTACTTCTGCTTTCTTTTACACCCTCTTTCCAATGACTGACAACTCACTTGTGGTGCATAAAAGACAAAATGACTGAGGCACTGGGATTCACATTGTTAAATAAACTTTGAATAAAAGACAGGATAAAAGAGGTATGAGTACAACAGAAGAAACTAACTGGGCCCGAGAATACTTTCATATCCTTAAAACTGCAATAAATTCTCAATACGTGGGAATCGGATGCTGTTGCATGTTTTTCCAATAAAACACCGACAGTTTGAACATTTCTTGAGGGCAGAAGGTACACTGAACAGAGCACCTCTCTACGTATCACAAAAATAAAGGATCCTGATGGTAACAGGTGAATACAGAAAGGCACTTTTTGATGCAGTACAAGAGACTACCTGACAGGGATATCAGTGCTGTGAAATTAATTGCCAAGTGATGAAATTTAACTTCTTGGGAAGCTGCTAAAGCTTTCAGTTGCCAGGCAATACTGAGATAGCTGAGTTTTGCTTAAAGTGACAGGGAGCTTTAAACCAGGAGCCAGTGATCTCACTCCAGTTTGCCATGCTTTAAAATGTCAGAAGGCACTGACTTATCATCTCATGGATGAACTGTGGCTTAATCACACTATTGATTTTTATACTGGATACACACAGAGAGCACAATAACTATCTGCTATCTGAACAAAGTGGGCAGAATGTTGCATTTTTGGACATCATAATATGATCAATATGGTTCTGAAGCTACAGTAATTCTTTTGCTTCCTCCAATAACTTGATCTCAGTCTAAAACCAAGTTAGCTACATTGCTTATCTGATGTACGGTCATATTTCAGTGTCTTGCAATCTGAGCTTCAACCATTCTGAATAGAATTATGGCAAGGTATCACAACATCTACTTGGATAAAGACCAAGTTAGAAATACACAGTGTAGGCCTATTCTATATAGTAGCAAGTGATGATATCTAAAGCTTTGGAACAATAGACAGATAAAAACCATGTGAAGCTAATTGCTAAATTGTATTACACATGACGACCAACAAGTAATGAGATCCATGCGACGTCAATAATTTAAAAGTCAAATACAACGCTGCGGAGACCTTACAAAACCTTCCTCTGAAACACAAAGTAGTTTTCTTTAAATGGCAACAACCAGGAAACATGCATCAAATTTATGCTACTTTGCTAAAGTCACAATGAACAGACGTGCGGTTGAAGATGAAGCTTGGAACGTCAGCACACAGCTTCAAATGGCCCAGTGACCGAAGAATGCAACGTTGCTCCTTATTTCCCTGATGGTCTGTGTCTAGGAGACACAGATCCCCGCCGCCTGCAGACATCCTGATAACTATTTTCAGCCTTACAGATGTTGTGATGATTCAATTATTTAAGAATCGGTGGGTGACTGTGGGAAGGCTGGAGGACAGAAAAGCATCACTCTCACTACTGGCCTAGATATTCAAACAGAATCCTCACAGTGAAGTACAGTGCAGTTTTTGTAAATGAATTTAGTGCTGGCTCTGAACATTAAATTTTACTTCCTGCAGACAGTTAGGTGATGAGAAATTAGACATTTGGGGACTGACAACTGCTGCACAGCTCTGAGGCCATAAATACCTCCAGTATAATGCCTGTTCTGTTCCAGCAAGTACAATGGCTGCAATATTCCAGTCTCTCTCATCAAGACACTTTTTTTGTATTATGCAGACTTGTCTCAGTCTCGTGGGTGTTTTGACTTGGCCTTGACTCAGCGTCAGGGGTGCGTTAACTCGGACTTGCCTCAGTCTTGCGGGTAATTTGACAGGAACTTGTCTGTGTCTCATGGGTGTTTTGACACAGACTTTACTCTGTCTTGTTGATGTTTTGACCTGGAGTTGTCTCAGTGGCATGGCTGTTTTGACACAGACTTGGAAAATAATGCAACATGTAGGCAACCTTTAGTGTTTCCTTTTCTAAATCCAAAGGAACGTACTAAGCAATTTAAATGATATCACAGTTGCCTCTCAATACCAACCAACAACAGCATGAAGAACACTGAATAGGCTCTGATGTGTGTTTTCACTCTTAGCCTCGACTCAGACTCTACCCCCTTTTTCTGGACTTGGAGACTTGTCACTGACTTAATTTAAGTGGGGTTGACTACACATTTGTTTGATAAACAATAAAAACTAATTCACTGCTAATAGTTTGCCTGCCGATGAGCAGCACAGATGAGAGCAGCACATCATAATACTTGACCCCTACATCATGCCCCGCCCCTTCTAGGGTGAAGGCTTCCCCTCTAATTTGACTGGCAGTACATGCAAATTCTGAGATTTTCTATTTTATGCCAATTTAATAGCATATAATAAGAAAACCGCATTGCATTTTCAGCTATTAGGAGCCCAAGTCCTACGTCCAGTCAGGCAAACAATTACATTTTATGTTGTTGCCAATTAATGATATGCATTATTAAATAGGAAAAAAAATGCATAAATGGGGCTTGTTTAGTGTTTTTTTAGTTTGCCTCCATCAAAGTGGATGACCCTGACACACACAACTACCTTTTTATATATCCAGGTAATGTATTTATTTATTTTGGTAGTCTGTCCAATGTAATGTTGCTGTAAACTAATTGCAGCTCTGTGGCAAAGCAGAACCGCTGTGTCTATTTTGATAGCCAATTGTGCTTATTATGCAACTTTTTACTTGAGCCAAGAAGTGGAAAAAAGGTGCAATTTAGCCCCATTTCCTTTGTTAATTTATGCTGGTTACAAGGCTCATTATTAGAAGCTAGGTTAGCTGAATATATCTAAATTATTAACATTAAAATACCCTCTGCTCCCAGCAGTCTTTTGAGTGGCAGCAAGTGTTTTATGGTAGGATCATATTTTTTCACACTAATAACTATCTATAGGAACAAACACATGATCTACTCCATTACATCATTAACTAACCTGTGATGAAGTGTTTGCCACAGAAGATTGACTGGCCAGGTCCCACAGATAACCATTTTCATCTTCTCTGGTGATGGCCTGAAGCTACAGACTTTATCATTTATTGTGCTCCACTCCTTGGGGAAGTAACCAAAATCGTGAAATGGGTATTTAAATTTTTTATTGTTTGATGTACAAAATGCGACATAGCCGCTTTTAGGCATGGTGCCACTAGTGTTTTCCACTCCAAAGGGGGCGTTGTTGTTCTGATAACAGGAAAGTGACGGATGACTGCTCACATCTCATTAGTCAGCTATACAATAGGACCAATGTTCACCTGTGTGAATTTTCAAAGCAACATACTCCAAAGATCAAACCACAGGTGCAGCCGTGAAAAACAGTAAAATGATTTAAAATGCCAAGAGGAAGACATATAGACCACATAGTGAGTTCTACTTTCTAAAACCATCTTTGTAGCAGTAATTACAATAGCAATGGTGTTACCTTAAAGTGCACATTTAAGCGTTTGTATATATTTTTGTCTATTTTGTCTACTTGCAGATACCTGAATTTTTTTTTTTCTGTTTGACAGTCAGATAGATTTTTTGCTCGATATTTTCAGCTTGACCTTTCCTCTCCATTATAATGTAGGAAACTACACGCTCACATTTACAACCAGTCAGACTGAGGTATAGGCAGCGAGCCACACCTTACCCCATTCAGCTGCCTTTCTGACGTTTCAGTGCGGGGAAATCTTTCTAGTTGTGACTTTCGGTGAAGGCTGCGTGAGGATTACAACGGGAGTGGGTAGAGAGGTTAAGAGAGTAATGATTTATTCCTCACTGGAGAGATGTGAGACATTCATCACCGGGAACAAAAAGCCTGTAGCACTGTTGGTTGCTGGTAGAGAAAGACGGCAATACAACCTGTAAGGAAGAGATGCCTTGCTATGACACTTCAGACAGAGGCTTTCTGCCTGCAGGGCTGGCTTATTAATGGAAGCTTATGAAGAATTGTAGTTTTATAATAAATCTGATTGGATATTATGAAAATATCACAGAACGCATACCTAAGAGAAAATTAATTTTAGGTCAGATGTGGTCTATTTAAACTTTTGTATTATAGGATTATTATAAAAGGTATTATAGCAATACCATTGCAGATTAAAATACCTTACACTCAATTTATACTCATTAGAAGACATTTACATTTTACAGACCACACACAGTATTTAAGTTCATACAATATTGCAGAAATATTCCAGTAGTAATTTTTTTTTTTTACCAGAACCAAATAGGGAAATGATTGATAATGAACATTTCAAGTATGGACAAAGGAAATATAAAATGTTAACGTCACAAAAACTGAAAGCAGGTACAGTTCAGCTACGTTCATTTATTCAGCAGTTTGGTAAACTTGCATTATCAAACTGAATACATATCAGTCGAAATATGAATGCAACATTTACCCGCCTCCTGCCGTGATTTTGAAGTGACATAATGACATAAAATCATAAAGTAAATATGTAAACGTGAAGCTCGAGATGCCGCCAAACTACAGCGCCTACCTCCCGTTTGACGTTCCATAATAATTTCTCTTTGTAGTCCTCCTCCGTGGAGCCCTCCATGTCTGTCTGTCTGTCCGTCTGTCCGTCCGCAGTGTGCACGACACAGGTCTGTCTCTACCACTGTCCGTCCGCTTTCCCCGGCCTTGCAGAACCTGTCTGCTTTTTATTCCCCGTTTCCTTCTTCCTTCGCTCAGCTGGACTCTGACGCAGCCGAGCAGCCTGCCGGTGACGTCAGAGGATCCGCCTTCTCCACTATACTGATCAATGGAGGAAAAGGGTGGGTGGGGAGGGGGGGACAAAAATCACTGGCGCTCATAGAACCTCCCAGGATCTATCCCCGCCCCAACCTGCCGCCTGCAGCCTCTCAGCATCCAACACACCAACCTGTAGAGCCTCGCAGTTATTTTTAGCATCTCTTTTTTTTTTTTTCTTCCTCTCTCCTGGGCAGGAAAGAGTTACAGCAGGGGAGCTGCTCTCTTGTGAAAAGGTGTGAAATGCTGGCAAATGGTTCGGAGAGGTTTGCGTTCTTAACGGTCTGCCGTTGCTTGTTGGTTGTAATAATTCACTCAGGTGCATAGGCCTATCTCGAGCAGACGGCTCCTCGGTGCGTAGATATGAGACTCCAGCGGAGGAAACATGTAATGCAGTTAATGAGCTCATTAAAATGCTGCCTTTTTAATGACTCCATTCACAAGCATGGCCCACAAGCACCGACACACACACACACACACACACAGTGCAGCTGATCCAAAAGGATTCTAAAAATAGTGTTTTCTGAAGCACAAGTTGACTATTCTCAATGCTGGTGCCAGTTTGGCCTGCTGCAAAATAAATGACGTCAGGAAAACCTGACACAGAATAACCTCCTCTGTCACAAAGTCCAGGGCTCAGTTGGAAAAGGGACATCGCACGCTTCGATGCACCAGTTAGGACTTTCCAAAATTAAGATGTGATGTAAGTTGTGACCTTGTTTGCATGTTGTCAGATCACTGTCAATCTAAATGTGATGTGCCACAGAAAACATAGCAAGAATATGATATCATCTTTATCTTCTCACAACAGAACCTACATGAGTGGTTCTGGTTAGGCAGAGACTAAAGTTACACCTGCATTCAGGGCTGGCCCTGTTAGTGTTGGAGCCCTAGGCAAGATACCCCCCTTGCGCAAACCCAATCCTATAAAGTCCACCACAGTGGTTGGGGTCATCATTTCTCAATCCTCAGGAATTGTTCAACAAATTAAGCATCCAAACTCACAATTTTAGCATAAACAGAGAAGTCAATAATCATGGTCCATGATGAAGAAGTGTGATCCGCCTGCACATAGCCTTGTCAACCTCCACACCATAGCTAAACTGGGAGACCAAACCTAACCTGGGATCTGGGAATCTTTCCCCACATAAACTGTGTGTCAACCCAGATACTATTTCCTCGCATAGTAGTAAATTTATGCTGTAATTTTCCTGAAATGGAAAAGCATAGGTTTAGTTTAAACGGTGGAGGGGACAAATAAAGAGGAGGGTCTGGTGGTCTTCCCCAGAAAATTTTGAGCATTAAAGACAATTTCCTTCATTCTGGTGAATATTTGTGCCAATTCATGGTTAATCTTCATCTATATAAAGCGAAACACAATATTCAGGCAGTATGTGGCAATGCAAAATATTAAAATTTAATAGAATATAATGCACTAAGGCTTTCAGGCATTCTGCAGATATTGCTTTTAAATATTTTTTCTCCTGAAGATCAACTTTTCTAATTTAATAAAATCCGTGCTGAGTCAGTACACATGCTAGGCCTTGCCTTCTCTTTTGAGTCTCCATGTTGGGGAAATAACCTCTTTTAATAGGCCTACGTGGGAACTTTTCACCTCAATGATAAAGTAATTCATTTTAATTCAGTTGTAAACTCCTGGACTTTATTAGCTCCTGTGTTTCAGCAGGTTTTCTGCTCATGTTCAAAACTTTCTGTTCATTCAGAATCTCTCCCATTTTTTCTGGGTAAGTCCAGAAAAAAAAGCAATATTTTGAGACTAATTACATCATTTGATAAGAATTCATATTATTTTTAAGTCTACCTGGCTTGTACTCTGTGTGCATTACGTCCTTGATCCGCTGGTATATAGCCTATCCCCTTTAGACCATTAGACCGACAGATTTGTGCGGAGTCGTAAACCTTCTCTTCCCCCTGACATTCTGAGCCCTAAGCGACCGCCTATGTGGCCTGTGCCACAGGCCGGCGCTGGCTGCAGTTTTGTTTAAGAAATCAGTTGCCTGTACCAACAGTCAGATTCTGAGTGCAGAACTGTTACATATAAATGAACGTTACATTCAAGGCCTCGCCAAACCAGCTCACTTCACACAATGCCGATTAAGCCTGTCACCACCAGGTAAGTCTCTCAGTACCTGCATTACACCAGAGTTTTTAAATCTGGTATCTGTGGCGACGTTCCTGCGCTGGCAAACCAGTAGTGACATGTTTTATTCCAACCAGCGATGATTGGTTTGCCAGAGCTGAACGGGGCAGCAACTCATGGCAAAGCATCTAAGAGCGTATGTCATTAGCAGTGTCCACAGTGTTTCGTATTTACTCTCACTTTAAGAAGGGGGAGACAAAAGGTCCACACTGTAGGTTCAAGTTGTCACTGAGCTTTACTAACAGCTGCCACCTGCTACAAACAAAGCACCTGCAACATCAACAGATCATGTGGTAATTAATATGACATATGAGGTGATGCTCTGTCACAGTTATCTCATTGTTTTGTATCTACACAATTTCCTGATGTGTCTCTGAGCTGCAGAGATAGACCAATAAGTGAGTGGAAGTATTCTCAGAGCAGAGAGTTGACAAACTGTACTACAGACATACAATGATCCGCCATAACCTAATGACCACCTGCCTAATATTATGTAGGTCCCCTTTTTGCTTCCAAAACAGCCCTGACCCGTAGAGGCATAGACTCCACTAGACCTCTGAAGGTGTGCTTTGGTATCTGGCACCAAGACGTTAGCAGCAGATCCTTTACGTCCTGTAAGTTGCGAGGTGGGGTCTCCATGGATCGGATTTATTTGTCCAGCAAATCCCACAGATGCTGGATTGGACTGAGATCTGAGGAATTTGGAGATCAAGTCAACACCTTGAACTCATTCTGTTCCTCAAACCATTCCTGAACCATTTTTGCTTTGTGGCAGAGTGTATTATCCTGCTGAAAGGCTGCATATGGTCTGCAACAATGCTCAGGTTGGTGGTACGTGTTAGAGTAACCTCCACATGAATGACAGGACCCAAGGTTTCCCAGCAGAACATTGACATTGACTGACAGTCCCAACAAACTGCGATACTCTGTGTCTGACACCTTTCTATCAGAACCAGCATTCTTTTTTTTCCAGCAATTTGACCTACAGTAGTTCATCTGTTGGATCGGACCACATGAGCCAGCCTTCACTCCCCATGTGCATCAATGAGCCTTGCTGCCAATTAGCCTGTTGCCTGTTCACTAGAGGTGGGAATCTCTTTGCAGCTCATGATTCGATAAGGATTCAGAGGGCTGCGACGCGATTATAATACGTAATGCGTGTGATTTAACTAAGAATTTAATTTGCATGTTAAAATCCAAAGGAAACGTCTCCTAAATTGCTTAAAAGGACTAGTTTGCATCCCTGATTTACTTTACTAGGCTCAGCTCCTCCTGGTCACCACCGTCCTTTATTTATCAACCAGTTTTCAGACTCAGCAGTTTAGTCTATGCAACCTGATCTTCCCAACCCTGGTAGGTATAGTAATGACACGCAACTACTTTTTCAAATTTAGCTAATGTTAGATAGCAGCCAAAAAACGTGCAGTACAGGGGAGATGTTAGCTAGCGTAAACCACCTTCACTTTTCCAGCAGTTTGGGAAACAACATACTTTTAATAACAGTCAGACTGTGACCTGTGCGTACATTTACTGCCAGACTGATAACTTACTAAGTAACTTAAATAGTGTCCTCCGCTAACTGTCACAGTCACTTTCTGCAGCTTGCCACACACAGGAGACACAGGGAGCAGCCCAGCAGTGAGTGTTACCCACTGCATAAACATGTTACCGTGCTTGCACAGTGCATGAGTGAAACCTATCAGCTGCGCATTCATGTTAATAAGCGTGTGAAATTTTAGTAGCAGCGGGGCAATGCGTCGAGTACAGGGACAAGGTTCCAGTTGCAGCCCGCAGACAAACGTGACGGAAGTTGAACTACAGTGGGAAGGCCCAATTCCAATGTCCCCCCTAAACCCTGAGTCCTGACCCTCAAAGACTTTACTGACGTCACTTGGTAAGTGATTGAGTACAAGAGGCTGAAAGGGCTCAAATGCTGTAAACAGGAATGGGACAGCAATTTGCCACAGTATCACATTACCTTGACAACGCTGAAACATGCACACTTTTTATTTATTTTTTGCCTGATTTTTAAGTCTTACAGGCTCTTGCCCTACAGAGCGGACAAGAGGTAAATCTACATTTGTCAATGATCAATGCACTATTTTTGGTCAAAACGATGTGATTACTTTCCTCTGACTTTGTGTTCTTTGTAGCCTACCATCTTAAATCAATGTAATTCTAACAATTTTAACATCAGCTTTGGTTTCCCGTACTACTTCTTCTTGTCTTATAAGGCCGATTTACATGACTTTTCTGTTGAAACCCCCCTGTTCCACGTCACAAAGTTATGAACTATGGGCAGTTCCCTCAGGCAAAGTCTGCAGACTTATGGAAAGGGTGTAAAAAAGGCCTCAAAATGATAGTGAGAGAGCCCTCACGCACTTGACGATTTGACGGTGGGACAGCCCTAAGCCCTCACGGATTTACCGGGAACGCAACTCAAAGTCTGTGAGTGTGGACATTGAGATTGGGCCGAACACTGGTCTTTGTTATGTGCACACCAAAGACTGTCCCAGCACTGCACTTAACGCACTTCCCAAAGTTCCACCTTTTATGTTCCTTGAACATTACGTTATCAACTAACACTTAGATAATAGATTTTCGACATTTGTTAATGGATTCAGAATCTTCCACGTCCGCTTCACGATGCATCTAATAATCAGTTTTTTTCTCCCACCCCTACTGTTCACTGCTTTTCTATGCTTGGACCACTTTCGATAGGTACTGACCACTGCAGACCGGGAACACCCCACAAGAGCTACAGTTTTGGGGATGCTCTGACCCAGACGTCTAGCCATCACAGTATGGCCCTCGTCAAAGTAGTTCAAATCCTTACGCTTGCCCATTTTGTCCTGCTTCTAACATATCAACTTTGAGAACAAAATATCCCATTGACAGGTGCCATGGTAACGAGATACAAGGTGTTATTCACTTCAGCGGTCAGTGGTCATAATGGTCTGACTGATCGGTGTATGTCTAATACAATTATCATGAAAAGTAAATCCTATAGGATGGATGACTTTAATGTCCAGCAAGTTGATTGGTTGGTAGACGGCCTTTTACACACTAAACCTGCTCTGGAGCAGGTTTGCCAGCAGCCTACTGTGGGTAAACATGATGATCTACTCTGCCTAATGGGGATATCAAGAAGGGCTTCATGATACAGACCCCGGTTTGTGTAGAAAGCAGACAATACCCGAATGAATTAAGAGCATGTAAATTTGCTGAATATCAGGTGTCTCTTCACCCCTTAAAGAGCTGGTATTATGCTCATTTTCAGGTTCAAAAATCCTATTTAGGGGTTGTACCAGAACAGGTTTAATAAAAAACAACAACCACCACCAGTGTTTTTGAGGGTGTGTTGGAGTAGTTGCTTGGCGAGCGTTATGAGGCACATTTTACTTCCATCCCTGTGACATCACAGGGATGGACTACAAACGAGCTGTTTTCAGGCAGTTCAGAGCAGAATATTCTGTGGGAGATGGGAACTCCCTTTGGGCTGGACTTTGGGCTTTTTCACTTTGCAAACCTAGTACATGCACAAAAAAGGTATATAACTAAAAAAAAATTGATATCCTTCCAGACTGAACCAAGGGTGGCATCTTTTAAGTCTATAAGTAATTCGGACTGCAGGAGCCCAGAGAGAATAAGTTCTATAGCACAGGTCTTCCTTACTGTGCACATTTTACAGTCTACTGAGTAACAGTCATTTTAATTATCAGTTATTTTAGTTATATTAGTTTCGTCATGTGGGATGTGTGTGTTTGAATGGTTTAATTATAACTGCCAGATGGGCCAAAGACCAATTCCAACCTTTGTGGACAAATTTATTAAAAAAAGAATTAGTGGAAAATGCTGACACGAGGGGGCAACTTCAAATTGCTTGTTTTGTCTAAACAGTCTAAAATCTAATTTTCACGTAAGACAAAAAGAAGCAGCTGATCCTCACAACTGAACAATTATTAAAATAGTCAATTCATGGTTTAATTGTGTCAGCTTTAGTCCATTGTTCAGCTCTGAAAACCATCTTATTTAGACTGAATAATTTCTATTTCAGCCTGAATAGAACAGAAATCTTTTTATTCCACTCATGGAAATGATCTTCATTTTCTTTGGCGACTATCACCTGTAGTTTTCATGGTGTGCCCGGCACAGTAGGCTCTAGTCGGCCAATAGGAGTGGACAAAAGCTGTCTGACTGCCAGCTAAGCATAATGAGAAAGGGATTTGACCCATTTTGCAGTTTCTTATTTTTTCCTCTCTCTTCCCATAAGCAAAAAACTACAGGCTGACAGTTTCAGACAAAGACAAGGAAGAGAGATTGATCTCATTCAGGTTTTCTGATTAAACTTAAACTTTTAAGTTATACTTAAAGTTTAGCTCATATTCTCAATTTGTATTCAGAGCACATAGCCATTTAATAAGATTCACAGTGGAGTGAAAATGCTTGGGTATAAAAACTTGACATTTGTTAGTCAGTGGATCACTTATAAATATAACCTGTTCCTGTAATATTTAGACAAATAAAGGGCTATTTGTTTGTTTTGTTTTTTTATCTTTGAGTTCTGGGGCTTTTAGAAACCCCTTTGAAGACACAAGAGCAAATGTACTGACTAGATTAGGCTATACATAACATATTGTATTTTTACATTAAATTACGGCTTTTTCCCCTTTCCATTTGCTTCAAGGTCTTGCGCTCATCCACTCAACTCCGCTATAAGCATCTATGCTTATAAATCATACCTCGAACTCAGCAAGGTAACAAACCTTACTGTGCCCTGCTGCTGTGGAAACCTCTGTCAGCAACATGAATTCTGATCACCAGTGCTCATGGCATGATGGAAAAAGGCACATTACCATCAGACTTCTTTATTAAAACACCATGAATCTTTTTGGCTCCACTGTAAACAGATACTTCTGCAAACCTGTCAAATTAAACCGCACTCACTGTTAACAGCCAGTTAACATGTGTGTCACCCAATCAACCAGGAGCTTTTAGTGCAATTTAAGAAGTCAGGCACTATGAGAATGAGGCATCAGTTGCTCTTTGGCATCACTGGTTCTTTGAAGTGAGCAAACAATAAGCAGAATATTTAACGGTATGTTATTTAGAGCAGTATTATTCTGTTTCCTGACAGCTGAGTTCAAACTGTAGATTTTATAATTATGCCTACCTACTAAAAACATAACAAAGACAAAAATAGTTGAATAACAAGAACTTTTATCTTCACAACTGGGAAAAAAGGCATAATGGAAAACTGCATTACAACATACTAAGGTATACTAATTATAGAAAAACAGGTTGATCTTTGGCAAACAGGCTTCTGCAAGTGTGTATATGAAAAATACAATTTATAAATATGAAACATGCTCTCCTGCTGGATCAGAGTTTAAGTGCTAGGATTGTAGTGCTTATTAGTGATTTTTCCTCCACTACTAATCTACATTTAATAAAAAACCTACAGTTCTCTAGATATTCAAAGTAGTTACTCAGCCTCCTCTGATAGTAATTCATAAATTATGATGGACAGCACGGACAACACCGCAACTATCTAGAGTAAAAAGTCACATGTAATTAGACCATGGCCACAATATGGACTTTTTTGATAGTGGTAATGAAAGTAAGATACTAAAACAATCCAAAAGAGAAACTTATGAGCACCAACAGATTTCACATTTGAATGTTCATCATCATCATGACGTGAAAAACTGAAATCTGGCCAGTGGTTTGTGGTTTCAGTCTCAGTGTCCCAGTGGCCGGTCGTCATACGTGCTGTACCTCTTGACGTGTATTCGACGGACACGCTCGCGAAGCTCAGCTCCTCCAGGCCCCTCCTCTTCCTCGCTGTGAGAGCCGCAGTTAGTATAGCTCCGACGCGTGGCCTCCAGCAGGGAGTTGTCGGGCAGTGGCATTGTCTCGTAAAGCAAGGTGTTCAGAGTTTCCTCATAGATGCGAGCTTCAGGAAACTCCACCTGAGGTAGGAAGGCACAGACACCAGCTATTTCTATATTGTTAATAAATACACTGAACACGCATGACTATTTACAGGTCAAAATTGTATGTTCCATGCTTCACTCATGCCGGCAGGCCAGGCTAAATAATTGTTGCCATTTCTAGTGGACATAAATACAATAAACAAAAAAAGTTACATCCATACTGTCAGAGGGGTTTAGTACTGATGACAAGGATCCAGCTTACAAAAAAAAACGTATTGCTCTTTTGGGTTGCATTCAGTTATTTTGAAAGTGTTGTCTAAACTCCCTGGTGTTCCTGCTCAGATTTAAAAAAATCTATTCAGTGTTTTTTTGAGGGGTAATTTGCTTTAGGCTGTTTTTCACTGTTTCCAAAGCATGTTCATGAACTGAATTTAATGTGCTTGAATGCACAACAAAACAGCAACTCATACAGCTAATGGGAAGGAGTGATGTTTTAGGGTCAATTCTAACCCAGTTCTTCATGTGTTCTTTTCTATTTTTATTTTTTTTTTACTCACACACACACACACACACACACACACACACACACACACACTCAAATGTTCTGCAGTTCATTTTGACTAATTTTGTCACTTTAAGGTCTATTATTTTCAATACGAGGAAGTATTCTACACTTCTTTCCTTTTATCCTGCTGCTCTTAAAAGTTTCATGCACATGGGTACAAAGTGTAAAAAGCAGATTACAAACCCAGTTACCCATATACATGGCAAAGAAATCTAGCTGAGGAAACCAAGTTTAAAGAAGTCCGCCCCTCAGTAGACTTCTTTCTTTCCTTTACAGAAACAGTATAAAGGAATCAGACTAAAAACAGCACTGCGTTAAAACATCACAGGGGGCTGCATTGGTGAGGGCGCATTGTTACAAAGTTACCAGTGAGACAATGAAATACGATCCAAGAAGTCTGGCTGGGGTAACAGATTCATGCGATTAAAGGCTTATCAGATGCCAAAACACTGCACAACAGTTTGTAATACTTTGTGATTTTACAACTCTGGAAAGTTATTACTGTGGCAACTATTTTATCTTTTTGTTGTGATAACAGTAGATTTACAGCGTTCACATTACAAAGTAATCTACCAGGAATGTGCATCTCCTTGCTGGATGACATTGCAGACCGGCTCCATTCAACTGAATGAGGGGGTTGCGTTTTTTCCCCACGCAGGGCTAAAGTTTGTCTGAACGTAGCCTAACTCGTCCTCACCTTGGTCTGCTTCTTCTCTGTGGCATAGACGATGGAGGTGCAGCAGACCTCAGCCAGCTTGCGACCCTGACCATAAAAGGACCAGCAGCAGATTTCGTCTCCTATCACGTCTTTGATGAAGAGGACGCGGCCGTTGAAGCTAAGAGACAGCCTGTCGAACAGCTCTATGTTCTTCAACAGGTTGTCGTCTGAGTTACTGTCGAGACAAAAGCAAACTGATGTGGGGAGGAAGTGCTTCATCATCTACTCCACTCTGTGGCTTGTGGCTCATTACTGTATTAGCTCAACAAATCACTTTTTCCCCCTCACTGAGCAATTTTGAAGAACTGTGTCAATTATCTTTGTGCTGATAGCAGCAGGACCTCTGGAGGAAGGTGTTCTTACCTGGTGTAGGAGTACTTGTTATTGCTTCTGTTGTACACCAGCTTCACCACAGGCTAACAGAGAGAAAATGCATTTCATTGCTTTAATATTGAAATTGTACCAACTATGAAGACAGAGCAGAACATTACTACTGTTTTGCAGGTATTACAGGTCCTGGGGCAGAACCTAACTTGAAAAAAAAACTCTAAATTATTTTTTTTATTTGATAATTCCAGATTCATAATACCAATTAAATTAAAGCCATAGTCAGGGTTTACCTTGGTAGAAGACTGGATGAGCCTCTCCTCTTCCTTACTGGAGGTGACCACAGGTATAACACACAGGGGCTGCTCTTTATTTCCCTGTCAATCACAAACCAACATACACTGGGAGTTAGAGGTACTGTGCAGTTACAGCATCTATACAGTATAGTGATACTTGGGCCAGATGTAACATTTTAGAAACTGACTATAATGCAAAAATGTGCGCCCATCAGTGTGGTAGGTTTAAACCAGCCAAATGCAAAAAAACTACTACAAAGCTGAGTAGTGTGCATCATTACACCCATTGGTACAGCTTGGTTTATTGAGCAACGCATTTCCAAAACAGTTAGGTTGACAGGCATCTCATTATGTGACAAGTGTGCGGTTTGGACAACTGCACACTGCATAATGCACTGTGTATTCAGTGAACAATGACACAGCAAACAAATAAATGCACACAAAAAACTTCTTCAACATGACAACACAAGGGCTTCTTAAGGAGTACTATAACACTAAATCTACTTTTTGAGTTTGTATAATACATGTACAGTGACTTTATTACACAACTGATCCTAGTCCCATTTCACAGTGTTTATTGCAACAGTTACATTTCTTTTTCCAGAGAAAATCCAGTAATTCTGCCACCAAAGCATCTGAAAAATCTGTGATGTACCCAGGGATACAGGAATATCTGAAACACTGTTCCACTGTCCTTTGCTCTGCATGCTGCACACACAAAGTATGTAGTGGACCTCAGAGGAGGCAGGTTGTGTGCTGTTCATTCATAAATTACTGGACATGATGCGGAATGAATGACAGCCAGTGATCTTAGAATTCAATGACTTGCTGCCTCACAATCTGTCCCCCTGGAAACCAAAAGATGTGTAAACCTTGGCAGCCCAGCAGACATTCCTGAGAACATCTGTCAGTATGATGCATACCCACTAACACTTGTCTTGCACAGATGGTGCAGTAAACTGTATTGCTGCCATAGCCTAGAGGCATAAATATACACTGTGGTCCACAGCAAATCAAATCTGAGCTTCTCTGTTGTAGAGCTTAACAGAAGTCACTACTCCAGCAAACACACAGTCAGGCACAGTACTGAGTACCATGAAGTGTACACTGAAGGAATTCTTAGACATTGCCATAGAAAGTAAATAGCAAGCAGGGGATATGGATAAAATCATCTATCACAGTACATAGGACTGGAGAAAAAAACACAACAATAATTGTGATATTACAATATAACCAATGTTCAATAAATGTTCAGCTTAATTTATTTGAATCACAAACAAATCAAAATTCTCTCATCTATTAATATATTTTGTTGAGGAAAAAGCACTGAAAAAAATTTACTTCATTTCACTTGTGCATATTTGTTGAAATTTTTTTTTTTTACAATCGTTTTGAATGTTCTACCTCAGATTTGTCATGTTTTGACCATCAACACAATTAAACATCTGGGTCTTCAATTTACACATTTCGGTGCAAAAATCTGCCTTTAAACTAAATGATGACGAATAATGATTTAGCATTTATCGTGATAATTATCTATATCGACTGATTTTTTTATTGTGATAATATTTTTGGCCATATAGCCTAGCCCTGACGGTATATTATATATTTTACATCCTTGCTCACAAGTATGGTCACCATCTGACTTTAGCAGGTTAGCTTGCTAACATTTGCTAGTTAGCACTACAAAGTACACCTGAGGCTGGTGGTAAGCCTAACCAATCAGTAAAAAATAAAAAAAATAACTAACAAAGGCAAATTGGTCATAAACCAAAGTATTGGACACACTTAAATTTGTCCCTGAATATGGCGTGAAATAAAAAGTCAGGGAATCAGAGTTGCAATGACTAATTCTCCATACCATAATGTGCTCCAATTTCTCTTGTAGATGTGAGATATTTCACTGGATAAGGGAAAAGTTGATCTGCTGGTGGTGCTAGAGAAAAAGTCAGGGGATTCATCCTCTGGAAACCATAAATGTCTTTCCAATATCATATGGCAATCCATCAAACACTACCATCAATGTTGCTAGCAGGGCTATTAACCAGCAGCAGGAATGTCTTTTTTGGCTAATCTGGTGAATTAAATCCTGTCAAATCCATAATAAGCAAACAAAATTAATTTGTACCATTGTAAATTAAATATTGTCGTAGAGATGTCCTGACCTACACATCATATTCTACAGACTTAAGAAAACATCTTTGTTTGGTACAGATCCTTGCAAAAATCACTGCATAATAAAAAATGTTTTTCAATGAAAATGAAAATAATTATATAAATATGATCATTTCCTCCAAAACCACATATCATATTGCGATATCCGTGAAAATAATCGCAATAGATATTTATTCAAAATCGTTCAGCCTTAGCTCCACATGTGTGTACAGGGTTTCTAAAGGCTACAAGCAAATACTGGCTTTCACAAGTATCAATAACAGGGATTGAAATTGGATTTTTTGTGATGTTGATGTTTACTATACACTCTTTCATCGACCACTGTATCAATAAAACAATTCAAATAGGCCAGAAGGGAACATAGCTGAAGAGAATAAACTGAGGGATAGGTAACATTAGTAGTGTAGGCAGTATAGCACAGATATTTGCCATCAACAGCTGCTATTTTCATCCTAATGCTAATTTGTGTACATTTTTATAACAATAACTTTAGTAAAACAGATGTAAAATAGAACAAGGGGAACATATTGCTCTCAGGAGGCATGAAGCAGCACATATTGGCACAATGGCATCCTGGCTCTGGCGAAATCTATCTGTCCACTGCAGAGGATCCATCCACAACCTGGAGGAGGAACTAGTATAAATGAGTGTATTAGTATAATATAACTAGGGCTGGGCACGTTAACGCGTTATTATGGCGTTATCGCATTAATTAATTAACGCCGACAATTATTTTATCGCACGTTACCGCAGTTTTTATTTTATCATTATTATTTTGAAAGTCCCTTGCTCACTGGCTCTGAATACACATCCAGTCAAACCGTGGGTCACAGGAGGGGCGGGATGTTGATGAACCTGCAAATCAGCCACCCAAACAAGCAGTGGAGGGAGGCTTCAGCAGACTACGCTGTCATCTTTTTTCCCCCATATTTTCCCGCTTGCTTGTTAATGACGCAGCCTGTCAAACAGCAGAAACTGTGTTCAATGCTGCTTTAACGTTACCTGGTCTGTGCTTGTAAAATATCCACCGCGACTTGTAACGTCATTTCAAGTTTTTAACCGAGTGAAGTCTGTGCGAGTGAACTCACGCACATAAGACGACCGCTACACCCCCCAATGCCATCGTTTCAATGTAGACATCGTCCCAGCCCTACTGAACATAGTGTTTCTGCTGCTGCCTGATAAAAGATCCCTGTTCAGAAAAACCCAAGACTCTGATGGGAACTTGTTTTAACAAGCTAGATAAAAGATAACGCCCTGGCAGTGGCAAATAGCTTTGCTTTAATATTTGATTTGATTACATTAATGTCTAAGTTGAGATTTACAAGAAATATTTTATTGTAAAGGGAATACTGCTGGTAAAAAGCACCTTATATTTATGTTTAAAGTGTTTGCAAACCATATGTTATTACACTTTTTCGTATGTAGCAGTACATTTAAATTAAAATTGTGCAATACACTACTTTAGAATTCATTATTCAATTTTACGTGTAACAATGCGATTAGAAATTTTAATCGTTGCCCAGCACTAATTATAACATTAAAGTATTATGGTTTAGTTAATAGTATAATGTTAATATATTCATTACAATTTCATTTAATAGTATACTATTTATAGTATACTACTAATAGTTGAATATTAAATCTAGTTACAATTTCTGTGGGTTGTTTTTATTCATTAAATCCTTGTGCAAGAAAAAGCCTCCACTTTGGTCTCTAATTTGTATCGTCTAATCTAACATGTTAACAGTCATATTGTTCAATATTTGAAAGTTTGCTTTAGTAGGTTATAAGGTCCAACTTTTTTTATTGTCCCGCCCCATCCAGGCTGTGAATGGTCAATTGACGAAAAGTGACAAGGACAAGCACATCGGCTTCATGAAAAGTTGAACACTGGCATTGATTATGTAGGATTCATAACCCAGATGTACAAAGCACATGCTGATGATGCACAACCAAATGTAAAACTAGTCAAGAAAAAATTACTGAATGAAACTAAACTGATGTCTAAGGTAACTGTAAACACAGTAAGTCATTTTAACCTTCAATATCTGCTTGATTATTTGAAGAATGTCGCTGACAAGGGCTGCATACATTTTGTGTTATTTTGCGATAGAAATAAAAAAATCCACTAGATCTCTCGTGCTGACATTAAAACTGTCCAGAGAAGGCTCATAATACATTTTCTTTTCTCCATATTTCAAATATCAGTCCGTGTGGATGTTACTGACCTGCAGGGTGTTTTCACAAAGTTCCACTAGACCCTGGATGAGGTAATGCTTTGCCTCAGCCAGCAGCTCCTGGATAGCCTGATGACCTTTGGGTAAGGTGACTGTGCCTTCACGCAGGTAGGAAAGGATGCTGCCAAAGTGTTTACCGCTCCGGTCGATCAGGATCCAACCTGAACGCAAACATGTTGAGAATATGTACATTTGAGCCACTGACGCCAAAACTGTGGTACTTAGAGAGTTAGCAGATTTTTTACTCAGTGATCTAATTTCCTAAAATATCAAAAAGTCATGCATTCTGTGAAAATATACAGATGATTAGTCATCACACTTTGTTAAAGGTTGTGGTGTTGAATTTTAGCCTGCAATGTCATGCTAAATAGAACATTAAAGTAGCATTACTAGCTTCACAGATTTGTGTTGCATGACGGTAACAATAAAAAAGGATTTTAGTCACAGTTTATGGAGAACAGCCTGCTTGTGTCTGCAGTTCAGAGATGGCTTACCTTCTTTATCAGTAAACACTTCCTTTTTTCCACTGAACATAGCTTTCAGCATAGAGTTCTGCCTGGTCAGCACTTGCAATGTGGTGTAGAACAGGGTCCCACCGACGTTGAGCCGGACATACTTGTTGCCCAAGCCCACCGCTTCTCGATAACTGCAGGTCTTGGTCTTGGGACAGGCCAGAGGAGGGGCTAGGGAGGCAGAGCCGGGCTGGGTGTGATGATGGGACAGGCAGCTGTCCCCGGACATGTCCCTTTGGAGGTAAATCACAACCCTGCAGACGGAGGTCCGAAGGTCCCCCGCCGTGGTGACAGCTACTGATGAGGCCGCCACAACCTCTCACTGCTCCAGATCATTCCTGGCAAAACACAGAGCTCTGAACTGGAGCTAAAACATTCTCTATGGAGCTACACAGGGAAGGTCAATGTTGAAAAACACTGTTTAACTGGTAAAGAAGGACGCCCAGTGGCTGAAGGCAGTATCACAATTTGGAGTAGAAGCCACCTACCCTACTGTTATCTTTTCCTCAGTTCCCCTTCCCATTAAATGGAATGTGGCTGGGCAGGAAACTAGAGGGGCAGGGAGGGGAAACATAACGAGTAAAAGGACAAATTATGACCAAATCTACAACTGCGGGCAGCTCACATATCTTAAAATTAACTAAAATTAGCAGCTGATCGAACGTTACAAGATTTTGGTAGTGGTCCCCCAAGTGGAGCTCAGTTTCAGAACATTGTTATGTGTGACAGCATTATGTACCACATAATTAGATTTATTATTCGAAGTAGTGCGGTGCAAGCAAATAAGTTAAGCATCATGGTTTTTTTTACTTCAAATAGCTGCCTGCTAGCTGGTTAAAGTTATTTCGCTAGCTTGTGTTAAACTCTAAACTAACGTTACATGTCGAAGCTCGACAAAGTATCCACAGAAAGAGACCTGTCATGTCTAGGTGAAAAATAGCTAGGCTTACTTAAAAAGTAGCAATCCAATGTATTACTGTAACCTTCAGATGAACAACTAACTTGGTCTAACGTTAGTCCAAGTTATTGCTGAGTGTACACTCCCCTAAGATTTGCCCGTTTCTGTATTGTCTTGTTTGTCAGCAAAGGCCCTGACAGTGTAACGTTATAACGTTACTTTAGTAAGTGAAACATTTTCTGGTCAATTCGTGTTTTCAATACTCCAACATTTAATTCTTTATGGCAACAAAAAAAACTTAACTTTTGTAATAACTTACTATCAACGTTCGCTTTGCGTCATTCTGTTAACCTAGCGCGTTACTTCCTGCGTGGGTGTGTTTTGCTAGTGTTAGCTAACATAACGTTAACTGTTAATATATTGAATGAGGTGACCAAAAGTTCAATATGAATGCGGGACAACGACAAAACTAAGTTAGCCTATCCCAAAAGTAGAAATTATAATGGAATATGGGTTATTTTTAACAGGACATTCTCCGAATTAGTTATAACGTAAAATAGCATTCGGATAAGGTTCTAAGTTTTCCATATGTGTATGTTCCACTAAACAAAATTCACATTAAATAGCCAGATTTTTCAATTGAGTGCGTGACGTTATCCTCCCTAGCTAACTGTTACATCCAGTAGTGAACAACACGCAGAGGGGCAACAGTTTACAAACTTTGACGTTACTTACCGACCTCTCCGTGCTGTCTGATAACCGCACACCGTATGGCTAACGTTAATTAAACTAGCCTTTATCTCCGTGAGACATAAATCCACAAAAGTAACAAGATTTGGGTTGTAAAAAAGTATGTGAAGTTAAACTCTCTTCCTCTTCTTCTTCGATTGACTTTACAGCAGGCTGTAAGTTGCGTAGCGTAATGCTGCCCCCCACTGTCAGTAGCACGCATTGCGAGCAGTTTTTGGAGAAGCATGGCATTCAGAGATCTGTCAAGAAGCGGGTTTACTGAGTTATCTGGAAAAGGTTGCTGCCTGTGCTGAAGTAGAACAGAGCATGGTAACACCTTATAAATTATATCAATTAAAAAAGATTTTTTTAAATAAATTTCAGAGGCGTAACTTACATGCTTGCAAGGTCTGTCACATAATTGATGCATGACTTAATTCACCGAGCAAAGAGGTTATCTTCAGTGCTTGGAGTTACGTTAATGCAGTCCACACTAAAGACTGAAAATCATCTCTGCAGTTCGAACTTCTTCTTCTTCTTCTTTAGGGTTTAATGGCGGTTGGCAAACCAGTTTAACGGTGCATTACCGCCACAAGCTGGACTGGAGTGTGGAACGAGAGATTAGGCAGGAAATAAATGAAATAAACAAAACCAAAACCAAAAAAAAAAAAAACAACAACAACAACAAAAAAAAAAAAAACAAACAAAAATAAACATAAATTAAATTCTTTTTCCTAACTCAGTTTCTTTAAGAAACTTAATTATATGACAATATATCTGGCCTGCTGTTTTCCCCAAGAGACCCGCCAATGAGATATCATGATGTTTTGCCTTCCGAAATGACTGAAAGAGGCGTTCCCTATTGATAGTGTATCTCCTACACTGAAGGAGAACATGTTCAACCGTTTCTAGTTGGTTACAATATATACATTTCCCAGTTGGGTGCTTACCTATTTTATATAATGAAAGGTTGAGACCTGTATGTCCTATTCTCAGACGAGTGATTATATTTTCTTCCCTACGTTTCCAGCCCACCATCCTTCCGGCACCAACCTGTCTCTGTACATTATATAGGTGCCTTCCAGTTTCACTGTTGTCCCAGTGCTCCTGCCAAACTGACTGTGCATAGGTCCTGATAAATGTCTTAGCTTCATCTTTAGTTAAAGGGGTTTTTAGGTCTACATGTTTGATTTTGAGTGTTCCTTTGGCCAGAATATCCACCTGCTCATTTCCCTCCACACCAACATGAGCAGGAACCCAAAGGAAGCATGTGGATAAGCCCTTTAGCTCCATCCTGTACAATATAAGGAATATGTCATTGAGGATTTTGGATCTAAATGATGATTTGCCAGATTTAATACTCATTAGAGCAGACAAGCTATCAGATGCAATGACAGTATTATTTGTTTCCCTCTCTTCTATCCACTGCAGGGCCAGTACTATTGCAGTCAACTCTGTGGTATACACTGAGACATGATCTGATATTCTTTTCTTGATATATGACTCACTTGCTGGGAAAAAGACTGCTGCACCTGCACGCCCTGTATCAGGATCTTTGGAGCCATCTGTGAATATAAACATGGAGTCTGAATAATGTAAATCAAAGTAATTCTGTACTATACTGCATGCTGGAAGTTTCTTTGACATATCCTTCAACTCCTGCTGTATGTTTAGATCTACAATTGGTGTTGGGAATAACCAGGGAGGAATGGAAGACTGTGACACTGTAGGGCTGTAGTCTAATTGTCGTAATCCTATGACTTCTGCCTTTGCATCACCAATCCACCCAAAACTTGTGAAATTTGTCTCATTGTGTTCCCAGCAATCTATTAAGAGACTCTTGGCAGGATGAGAGTCACATTGCCCCTGGAGATTAACCCAGTATGCCAACATTAACTTTACTCGCCTGATTCTTAACGGCATTTCTCCCATTTCCACCTGCATTGCTGACACCGGAGATGTTCTGACTGATCCACTGCAAATTCTCAAGGCCTGAGCTTGTAATACATCCAACTTCTTAAGGTTTGATTCTGCTGCTGACATGTACGCTACACATCCATAGTCAAAAACGGATCTCATGAGTGCCCAGTATATATTTTGTAGAGCTGCTCTGCTTGCTCCCCACTCTTGTCCTGACAGACAACGAAGTATATTGATGACCTTTTTACACTTGTTCTTAACTTTATCTAAATGAGTATTCCAGGTGAGCTTCTCATCAAACCAAACCCCAAGAAATTTAATTGTTTTGACTTGCTTAAGTGGTTGTTCATATAACTTCATGGAAATAGGCGTGACTTTATGCCGCCTTGAGAAACAGATCACCTGTGTTTTTGCAACAGATAACTTGAATCCCCATTTATTTGCCCATTTTTCCACAGCAGCTATTGCAGCTTGCATTTTCTTACTGACGTGCAACACATTGCGGCCTCTTACCCACAGAGCCCCGTCGTCTGCGTACAAAGATTTCCCTACGCTTTGTTCAACCTGAGAGAAGATGTCATTTATCATTATGTTGAATAGCAATGGGCTGCACACGCTACCTTGCGGAGTTCCATTTTCCACCTTATATACACTGGAGTATTCTGTGCCAACTCTTACTTGTATTTCCCTGTCAAATAGAAAGTTCATAACCCAATTATATGTTCTACCACCAATACCCAATGACTTCAACTTAATAAGTAACCCTTCTTTCCAGAGCATATCATATGCTTTTTCAACGTCAAAAAATACAGCTATCAGTATTTCTTTGTTGGTCTGTGCTTTCCTGATGTCTGATTCTAGGCACAGTACTGAATCCATTGTATTCCGACCTCTACGGAACCCACTCTGGTACGGGTACAGAAGAGCTTTACTCTCTAGGAAGTATGTTAAACGCTCTGTGACCATTCGTTCCATAATTTTGCACAAGTGTGAGGTTAATGCAATAGGTCTATAACTGGAAGGGTCTGACTGATCTTTTCCTGGTTTTGGAATGGGCACTATTATTGCTTGTTTCCAAGCTAAAGGAAGTTGGCCAACATCCCAAACTTTATTAAACAAACCCAACACCGTGTCTAGTGCACTATCTGTCATGTGTGCCAACATTCCATAACATACAGCGTCCTTCCCTGGAGTGGTCTGACGAGCACTCGTAATTGCTCTTCTTAGCTCAAACAAATTAAACGGTAGATCTAACGGATCTCCTGACACCTCCCTTTTCTCTGTTATTTTGGGATTCTTCATTAAGATTTCCTCTCTACACTGCCTAGCCTCATCTGTGAGATTACACGAACTATGAACCCTTTCAAATGTTTGTGCAAAAAGTTCCGCCTTTTCTAAGTTATTGACAGCCATTTTGTTCCCAGTGTTCAACACTGGTATCTCATAATTTCTTCTAATCCCCCCCATTCTTCTAATCATGCCCCATACATCTGACAGCTGTACTTCCCTTCCAATAGTGCTACAGTACTGCCTCCAAAATGTTCGTTTTTGTGTTCTAATTGTCCTCCTTACTATTGCTTGGGCCCTTTTATACTGGATCAATGCATCCTGAGAATGATGTTTCTTGAGTTCTCTAAATGCTTTATTCCTGGCCTTTATGGCTTTACTACAGTTGTCATTCCACCAGGGTACACTCTTGGTCCGTTTAGTTCCTGTACTCTTAGGGATTGTTTCCTCAGCCGATTGAATAATCTCATTAACTATTGTACTATTGATTATGTTTACATCTGTCTGGTTCTCCTCTTTGAGTTTCTTGAATCTGTTTGTACTGATCTTTTGAAAAACATCCCAGTTAGCATTTCCCAATTTCCATCTGGGAGTTTTCTTTCCCTCATCATAAAAACCTTCAATGCCAACTTTAGTTACCACAGGGTAGTGATCACTTCCTATTGTGGTATGTTTGATCACGCTCCATGTGCTTAAACCTGCTATTTCACTAGACACCAGTGTTAAATCAAGCGCTGCCTCTGTGTTTTGCACACTATTGTATCGTGTTCCTTCCCCATTATTAATACATACCAAACAGTGATTATCTATAAATTCTTCAACTGCTAAACCATTTAAATCGGTTTTATTGCAACCCCATAGTGAGTTATGTGAATTGAAATCCCCACACCATATCACATTATCTTGCAATAGTCCTCCTACATTCTCTAGTATATCTAGACTTATTTTCCCACAAGGATTATAGTAATTAATTATGCCAATATTACCTCTATTAGTCCATACCTTAACCGCAATTGATTCATGATCTGTGCTTATACTTATAACCTTATAACTCATTCCATTTTGTATGAATGTCACAACGCCTCCACCGTTGCCAGGATTTCTGTCTCTCCTAACAGCAGTATATCCCTTTATAATAAAGTCCAACTGTGGCTTTACCATGTCTCCTGTATACAAATTATATCAGGTTTCTCTTCCAATTTATCAATATACTTTTTGAACTCTTGGCCATTTGAAATTAAGCTTCTTGCATTCCACTGGAGTATAATTAGCACCATTAAGAGGATCCAACACATGTCTGAGATGACTGATTATCTTCATTAAGAATGTCTTTAACTGTTTCCCAGTGCAGCCCCCTCACATCAAGGTACTTCTCAGCTGATTTGACAATTATTTTGATCCTTTCATTTCGGCTTTTTGTCTGTGCTGAACAGTTGACAATATCTGCCATAAAGAATACAAAGTCATTCTTGTTCACAATCAGAGTTTCCTCCTTCACTTTATCGCACCCTACACATTTCCCTGCATCTTTATTTCTAGTGTCATTTTGCCTTGTCACCTGCGCGTCTCCTGAAACCTTCTTTGCTGCCTCTGCGTAGCTTATTCCCTGAGTAGCCTTGACTCGCTGCACCTCTGCCGCTCTTTTACTAACTTCGCATCCGCGGTAAGCTGAGCTATGTTCTCCTCCACAATTACAACACTTCAGCTTTGTCCCCTCTGCACATTTGCCATACTCGTGGTTTCCACCGCATCTACCACACGTTTGCTTTCCCTTGCACACGGATGCTACGTGTCCGAACCTCTGACATTTAAAACATCTGAGAGGTGGGGGAACATACGGCCTCACATCATAACACATATATCCAATAAAGATCTTTTCCGGGAGTCTTTCCTCATCAAATGTGATCAGTACAGAGAGACTGTCACTTTTAATCCCATTTCTGCTTGCTTTAAGACGTCTGACTTCACTCACTTTGGCATTTGTTACATTTCCTTTAACATCATCTGCTGTTACATTTACTGGAATCCCTGTAATAACTCCCCTGACCAATTTTCTGTCAGTCATCAGAGAACATTGTACTTTCTTGCCATTTATTTTATTCATTCTGACTGCTTTTCCTTGTTGTACTCCATCCTTACATATAATTAGTAATGATCCATTTCGCAATATTTTAGCACTCCTTACCTCCCCGATTTCTTTACTTATGGATTTAGTTAGCTGTATTGGATTCCAATCGCAGAATGAAGCCCCATCTTGCACAAGTTTTACTATTGCCTTGAAATCCTCTCTCCTCCTTTCAGTTACAGTTGCTCTCCCGTCACTATCACTCCCATCCGATCTTAGGCTCTTTTTACGCTTATTTTTCCTACCTGCTATATTCCACTTTTCATAACTCCCGCCACCTTCGACCATCTCTCCTAACTCACTTCCTGAACCGTCACTTCCTTCTGCCATCTCTCGTCCACCAACCGTCCCCCTGCAGTTCGAACTTTAGACAACATTTGACTTTATCAGTTCCAGTCATCGTGTCATATTCTCTGCATTACGGTAATGATCCTCATTTCCGTTTTACTTTCAAATTAAAAGTGTTTCAAGAGTTATGATGACTAAATCGTTTGGGCCACATTTGATTATACGCTTGCTCTTGCTCTGGGTATCAGAAACGATCAAGGAGTGACTGATGATCACTGCCAACAATTCAGCTGTGTAAAGTCAAACAATATAAAGGAAAAGGAAATCATCATATACCATACATAGATATACATACACACACCTGCCCAGCGTATGGTTTCCCTGGTAGCAGGAGGAGGAGCTTTGGTTGGTGATTACTTGCCAACGTTCTGCCACATAGCCGATGCAACACAGAGCAGTCTGCGGTAACGGAGATAACGTTAGCTGTTTAAACAGGTCAAATGTGTAGTTTTCTGGCCGGAGCGTAACAGTTTAATATACAGGAACTTAATCAGCCTTAAGGAAGGTAACGTTAGTGTGTTTTTAAGTCGTTGTCAAATTGGCTTTTGTGATCAGGCTAGCGTAACGTTAGCTTAGCTAAGTTAATTTAACTAATTTAGGTTAACGTTACGTTACACCAGCTTAACGTTAGGTAGTTGAAGCGATGTTGATGATTCCCCCCGCTTCGTCTGTCGACTGGGCAGTTGAATAGGCAAGAATTTCCACTGGGGAAAAAAACACAAAAGTATGTGAACCGTTTTAGCTAACGTTCCTTACGATACTATTTACACCTTTTCAGACTAACCTTAGAAGTTAACCGTAATAATGTTATTAACTTTATGAAGCTAACGTTAAGTCATTGACTTAACGTACATACGATACATGGTAAGCTAACGTTAATATCAGATAGATAAGGTTAACGTTGCATTTGAAGAGTTCTGACGTTAGCTAACTTATAGCTAACCTATGCGTCTAACTAACGCAGTCTCTCATTAAATGTCCTTAACGTTAGTTAAACGAAATGTTTGCTTCGCATCAACATAACGTTTTGTCACTGGCAGCCAGCTGGAGAGGCTGGAGAGACAGGCATAATGTTACTGTCAGAATAGATATCGTCATTGTTACTGTGTGATAGTCGGATAACAAACCACTTGTCAGCATTAAGTTATCAAACCATAGAGCCTGGTGATTTCAGTGTAAAGTTGTCTAGCATACATTACTCACTGTATCAGCGAAATATATCTTGTAATGTTACAAGAGGGACAGCCTACTAGTCCATCTATTTAAGAAGAAGATGTACTTTATTTAATTATTTGCTTTCTCTGTTGTCCTGTCCTTTGTCTCCTTTGTGACAGGCCCTGTGGCCATGGCTAAAGACCCATTAGCCGAGGCAGGCTTTTATTTTGATGAGCTCAACAAGCTAAGGGTACTGGAGCCTGATGTCAGCCAGAAGACATCAGAGCTCAAGGAAGAGTGTAAAGAATTTGTCGACAGTAAGCACTCAATACTTTTTCAAGTCCATCAAGCTGTGCCTCCTCAGGTCCTACAGGATGTACAAATGTGTGTTATCGTTTGCAGAAATTGGCCAGTTTCAGAAGATAGTGGGAGGTCTAATTGAGCTGGTGGATGAATTGGCAAAAGAAGCAGAGACAGAAAAGATGAAGGTGAGCTTAACACTTAACTCTGCTTTTCAATGGCTGTTGCAGAAGATGTTATTGTCCTCATATGCCAAAGCTTTGAAACACCTGAATGTGGTTGAACTGTCCTTCAACCCAACCCAGTTGTCTCGGGTTTGCTGTACATTATGTGCTTTTGTTTGATCATGAGCACAACACCTTGTTAATAATCATCCTGTCTCCTTTCAGGCAATAGGAGCCAGAAACCTGCTGAAGTCAGTGGCAAAGCAAAGAGAGGCTCAACAGCAGCAGCTTCAGGCGCTCATAGCTGAGAAGAAGATGCAATTGGAGAGGTAAACAGTGCATAGGTGGTCTCTATAACCCAACCAACACAGGGCTAACTCATTTTAGCACCTGTCATACAATGTTGAGGTGTAAATTTCTCAGTTGGGATGCTGGGTGCCCCGGTAGCTCCCCTGGTATAGGTTGCGCCACGTATCAAGTAGTAAGATAAAAGGATATAAGTCATTTGTAAACAGCTTAAACAGTTAGCTAAAAGTGATGGATAAACAGTTGAGTGTCACTAAAAAGAATAGATTAATAGCTTAAACAGTTAGCAGAAAGTAATGAATACATTGTTGAAATATTATGCTAAAGTGATGAATTAACAGTGGAATGATTTACCCCAAAACAGTTGAATAATAGTTGAAATAGTTAGCTAAAAGTAATGGTAAATGGTCTTAACATTCAGATTCTGCCACTCCAAACATGACAAACCCAACCTAAACACTGACAGTTTCATTGTATTAAAAAAAAAACTTGTATCGGTATCCACTTTTACGTAGTGTTCGTTGACATCCACTTTAAAACCAACTGAATAGACACATTTGGAAAATGATGTGCGAGTCAAGAAAGAACATTAGCTCATCTGGTTGGGTTGTAGGGGAATGTCCGTTAAAAAAGGTGGAGAACCACTGTCGTACGCTTACATCCCCTCCAAAAGTATTGGAACGGTAAGGCAATTCCGTTGTTTTTGTTGTTCACTGAAGACATTTGGGTTTAAGATCAAAAGATGAGGATGAGACAAGAGGTCACAATTTCAGCTTTTATTTCCTGCTATTCACATCTAGATGTGTTAAACAACTCAGGACAAACCACTGTTTGTATTAGACCACAGCATTCTTAGGTGAGCAAAAGTAATGGAACAAATAATCTTTAAGTAAATAACATTTAATATTTGCTTGCAATAACTGCCTCAAGCCTGCGACCCATCGACATCACCAAACTGTTGCATTCTTCATTTGTGATGCTATTCCAGGCTTTCACCGCAGCTTCTTTCACTTCTTGTTTGTTTCGGGGTGTTTCTCCCTTCAGTCTCCTCTTAAGGAGGTGAAATGCAGCTCTGTTGGGTTAAGGTCAGCTGATTGACTTGGCCAGTCTAAAACCTTCCACTTTTTCCCCTGATGAAGTCCTTTGTTTTGTTGGCACTGTGCTTTGGCTCATTGTGCTGCTGCATGAGAAACTTCCTCCCCATTAGTTTCAATGCATTTCTCCGGCAGACAAAATGTTTCTGTCCACTTCTGAATTCATTCTGCTGCGACCATCATCAGTTACATCATCAATAAATATTACTGAGCCTGTTCCAGGAGCAGCCATGCACGCCCAAGCCATGACATCACCTCCACCAGGCTTCACAGATGAGCTTGGATGCTTCAGATCATTTGGCTTTTCCATCACTTTGGTACAGATTAATCTTGGTCTCATCAGTCCATCAGATTGGGTTCCAGGACTTTTGCTGCTCATCTCTGTACGTCTTTGCAAATTTCAATGCAGTCTTCATAGGTTTTAAAGGATGAAAACTTAGACTAGTCATGCAGCTATTTAATGTTTGGACAATCGACCTAAAAGGCAACACCTGGGCAACAAGAAACATCTGGCAGTCACATGTTCCAGTAGTTTTGCTTACTTGAAAAATGGGTGTGTTCAAACAAAGGGTGATATGTCCTGAGTTGTTTAACACATCTAGATGTGAATAGCAGGAAATAAAAGCTGAAATTCTGAACTCTTGTCTCATCCTCATCTTTTGATCTTAAACCCAAATGTCTTCAACAAAAACAACGGAAGTTGCCTTACTGTTCCAATACTTTTGGAGGGGACTGTATGTCGTGAACTACTCATGATCTGATTTAACGTGATTAGGACACTTAACGCTGACATTTGAGTGCCACCCTGACTGACTTACCAGGTTTTCACACAAAAGCAGAAGCTTTTCAATTTTAACTTAATTTAGTAATTCTGTTTAATCTGCAATTTCAAAGTGGATGTAGGATAGTTATAGAAAGTGTAACAATACATTTAAATGGACAGGTAGGAAGAAGTCCATAGTCAACTGTGTCATGTAGTAGTCATGTGTGCTGCAGTCAGCTCTACATAACTGTCTCTGGTGTATAAAGTCGGTTTGGAACAGACAATTAATCACAATTGAGATAAGTCACCATATTTATGTCATGGCTGTAATGTTAAATAAAACCCAAATGTTAGTCAGTGAAATAGTATTTGATCTCTTATTAATGTAGGCATGTGTTTAAACAACAACCTTATGTGATGACATCATCTGGTATGACTTCTTGTGACCTTTTGAACAGCCAGTAATGATCTTGGGGGAGCAAGTTATTCTTACCTCTTTCCCTAGGTATTTACCCCATCGACGCCGGTCACACTAACAGCTCTTACTAGTATCTGTTGTTACTTATAGATCCCTTTTTGTATTGATGCTTGTATGCTGTTACTCAAATGTAAGTAGCCTGGGATGAAAGCGTCTGCCAAATGAGTAAATATAAGTTGCCATCACATGGCACAGAAGTGTTTACTGTATCATTGTATCTGCTTTAATAGGCATGTCTTATGACACGCAAAAAAAATGGACCGTTTGCTGAAGTTTTCTCTTGTGTTTCCTTGTTTCAGATATCATATTGAGTATGAAGCCTTGTCCAAAGTGGAGTCGGAGCAGAATGAGTTCATTGACCAGTTTATTCTGCAGAAGTGACGATGTGACTGTGACCACGTTTCCAGAGTGCCTGTCCTGTGTTCTCTGGGAGATATCCCCTTTAGAGAATTACTCTGCTGCAGCTCTTTTTCTGAAGCAATCCCAAAGCGCCAACATCGTCCTGAAACAGCTATACCTCCTCTTTACACCTTACTTCTGACACGCCTGTGTGTCATGCAACAGCCAGCTGGCTACTGCAGTTGTTCCCACCCTGGTCAGCAGGTGTGAGGATTTACAGTGTTTAAGCTTCACTGTATTTGGAACATCTGAAGTTCTGTTCACACCAAATGTCTCAACATCAACATCTCAGACCGACATTAAAGAAGATGGAGCTATTTATAAAAAGGAATAATATTTATACTGAAGAATTACTGTATATCTAGTTTTACTACTTTTTGTATCAATTGAAATACTGCATGTGCATGCATCTGTAAATACATTGTGGTTTTAGAAGATAGGAAAAAGTTGACGTCCTGATTTGAACATCTATGTGTTATTATTTTAGGTTTTATTCCATTATATTGGTACAACCAGTCTGTGGGCACAGCACACAAGGAGTACATTCTCTTCTTTATAAATACATTTTCTTTCTTTCTATTTATGGGTGTCATTCTCTTCCATTTATTAATTTAGATGACAAATGGTTAGACTTGAATAAATACTGTATTATATTGCACAGTAAAACGTGTCATCATTTTTGCTGTTGAGGTGAGTGAGCAAATTGTGTAATTGAAAAAAAGACTACTTCATGTCCATATATTTTGACACTTGGTAATAAAACTTGAAGCAAGTCGTCGCTTGCAAAGGAATTATGTATTTCTCTACAGAGTTTACAGAGTTGAGAATAGGTAAACAAGTAGGTCCGCAGTGTACAAACTATTATGTTTCTATACCATTTATTTTACTTTACCTGCTCAGGAGAGGAAGGTTGTGGTTAAGTTCGATTACAATTATTAAGAGTTGATTAGAAGCTGTTAGGGAGCTTTCAATCACATCACTTGGTCTTCCTCAGATTTGTTCAGTCAGCACATCATTTTGTAGATCTTCAAATTTCCATTTTTCTGAACACTAAAGCCTTTTTCTAAATCTATGTTGGGTTAAAAGCTGAGATTTAAAGTTCATTCATGACCTTGGAAATGGCAGTTGACAAAACATTCTCCACAAAGTCTGCTCAGTAGCTGCTCTGCAGCTTTTGATCACACCACCACCTTGTGTTCATGTCCCGTGTTGAATGGTCCTGATTTGAGAGGAATCTTTACTCTTCCCTTTCAATCTCAACATTCCACCACTTTAAAATTTGCACATTTCACTCAGTGACTGCAGCTCTGGAGAAACACTGGCCTCAGCTCTCTCTGGAGCACACAAGCCACATATCCATGTTGTATTTATACAATATACTATATATAATGGGACAGGGAAAAGGTGTAGCCTAGCCTGCACATATTTCTTATTCTTTTATATTTTGTCAATTTTATATTTATATTAATACAAATCCAGCCCCTGTAATACATTTGCACAACACAAATCTGGAGTATGCACATGTAAATAATAATTATTATTAGTTAACTGTATGTTTATTTCTGTCTAGCACCTAATCACCATAGCAAATTCCTTCCACATATACAGTGAGGAAAATAAGTATTTGAACACCCTGCTATTTTGCAAGTTCTCCCACTTCTTTTAGAAGATTCACTTACTTAAGACTTTTAGATTATGTCTCTCACAGTGGACATGCACTTACGATGACAATTTCAGACCCCTCCATGATTTCTAAGTGGGAGAACTTGCGAAATAGCAGGGTGTTCAAATACTTATTTTCCTCACTGTAAAATACTACTTGGCAGTAATGCCCATTCTGATCCTGAGAAGACAACCTAGGGACTCGAAGAAGCACTTCCAAAGGCCACACCGGTGCCAGTCCAGGTTTCTTATTTGAAAGACCGGACCATTTTTCTACTTAAGCTTGCCGATTAAAATAAAATAGCCTCTACTGGTAACAATACAGGCTTTTTATCAAAGGCAGAAATGTCAGAGGCAAATAAGAGCATGTTGTTTCCATGTAATGCCAGTTATGGCATTTAAGCTCATTCTTGACCTTTGACAAAACAAGTAAATGTATGAATGTACATCTTAACAAAAAGCTAGTAAGTGAACCTCGAGTTGGAATTGTTAAATTCCTCATGTTAACCCACCTGGCTATCCGTGTATTATGGAGTGTACACACACACACACACACACACACACACACACACACACACACACACACACACACACACACACACACACACACACACACACACACACACACACAGACAGCCCTATACATTAACCCCACCTTTGCTTTCTGAGAGTACATTGTTTCATTATGTGTGTTATCTGGTCTATCTTTATTAAATCATCTGAACACCTGCTTGGCTATGTTCACTACTTTCTCAGTTCTTCTTTCACAGCAAAACGTCCCACAGCTCGGACACCTTACTATTTGTTACTGCTAACTGTGGTGATTTTGAAAACTCCAGGATAGCCACATGTCTAAAATGTAACTGAAAGTGTACACTGTAAATAATAATGGGTAAAAATAATAATAATAATAATTCTATTTATTTCATTCCAAGAACAACACTTTTTAACATTTCAAATGAATTGAGTAGTTCGTTTATACAGATCCTAACAGTTCATGACTTGTGAGGTCTTCCTCATCAGATGTTGCTTCATCATAGCTGGTCACGCCCCGACGACAATGAGAACAAATCACAGAAACAGTACATCCACCACTATAACTCACATCAGGTGCAGCACTGCGAAATGCAACACCCGAGGTTGTATTCATGGGTAATGAACCTCACTTCTTCTTGGCATACTGTAAATCAAAAAGATAATTAAAAAATGCAGCTTGTTTTTATTTGAACAGCAGCATGGAATGAAAAAGGCCTTCATCCTTACTTTATCAATAATCCAGTCAGCATCTGCAATAGCTCTCTGGATCATCATCCGTATCCTCTCTGGGTCGTCTTCATCTGAGTGACTGTTATAACTCTGGAAACCAAAAGCAAGGCGTCACGATAATATAGTGTTTATATTTGTAATGCTCACGATGGGGAAGCACTTTAATCTTTCCAGTCTAGGAAACCCATACTTAACAGGTTTAATGACGCAGTATGCAGAGTGTATGATTTATTGTTCTTGGTTGTTTGAAGTTGATAAACATGTCAGCAATATCCATGAAAAAAAATAAAAAAGCCAAAATAACTGACAGGTAAAACTGGGCCCATTAGGGGTGTACTCACTTTTGTTGCCAGCGCTTTAGACATTAATGGCTGTGTGATGTGTTATTTTGAGGGGACAGCAAATTTACACCGTTATACAAGCTGCACACTCACTACTTTATATTGTAGCATAGTGTAATTTCTTCAGTGTTGAAACATGAAAAGATATAATCAAATATTCACTCACAAATGTGTGACAACTTTACTTATTGTACATTCCTTGCCATGTAAATAGGCCATGTTCTCAGCATTCTGGGAACTTTCAGTGTGCTGGGACCTCAAGCCAGAGAAAAATGATGCTAGACACTGACAAGACACTGGCAAACTCTCATTACTCTTTCCCTGCTTGCAGGTGAAGACGGAGAGCACCTAGCAGTTTGCAAGTGGCAGTCTATTAATGGGCCTCCACTCAAGGACTTCCCATATCAGAGGGCCATGGAAGTCTTCTACAAGAAGCCCAGAAGAGCAGAATGCTCCAACATTTTCAGTATTTCTTTAAAAGGTCATGGAAAATTACTTTTAAAACTGTATTTAATACACATTTCTCATGTTTATGAGCAAAATTCTACATAATAAAATGTCCAAGATCATTTGACATCATTTTGCTTGTCAATATTAGGGATGTCACGAGAACCGATACTTCAGTACCAAGTTAATACCAAAATTCAGAAAACATGACGGTACCATAGGTACTGAGGATCCAACCCGTGAAAGAGGGCGACAAGTGCAGCTGCAGCAACAAGTCGCCTTGACTTGTCGAAAAGAAAGGGAGTAATGATAACTTTAGCAATAACCTGTATGCAAACGGTGCTGTTGAACTTTTCAGACTAAAGCAGGAAACACTTTCAACTTAGCGAAGCACCTCAGACAGACATCCAGATTGAGAGAGTTTCTATTCACGTTACATTAACATCATATCCAAAGTGTTATCTTTAGTATGTCGTTATCCTGAAATACACAATACTATTATTTTGTTTGAGACCAGTGGCATTACTGTGCAGGCTAGCCAACTATGTTGCATGATGTTTACAATGGCTAAATGCTAAAGGCTACCATGTTTAGGCTAACGTAATGTAAACCTAGCTCGTAGTAACAGGCTGCCATCCCTATCGTTCAGTCTGTCGTCTGTCATTAAAACATAACTAACTGAAACTACACTCATTTATTAAACCAGCGTTAACTGCACTCTGAGTAGAGGTGTGTGTGTGTGTAGCCTCTGCGGTTTTCTTACACTCATAGAAATAGCCATAGCGCTTACTTCCGATACCATGAAATATTTTGAAAAGGTTATCCTAGGTCACTTGTCTAAACAAGTGTCCGCTTTTAAGATCCTTTGCAATTTGCATGTAGGTGTAGGAGTTGACGACGCTTTCATTTTTATGCTGCATAGAATTTATAGTCACCTTGAATCAACGGCCAGTTCAGTCAGGATTGTTTTTTGTTTTTTCTAGTGCTTTTAACGCTATTGAACCACACCTTTTAGATGTAATGTATAAAATTTTAAATTACACAACATCACTATTGCTTGGATTTTAGATTTACATTTATTCATTTAGCTGACGCTTTTATCCAAAGCGACTTACTATACATGTCAGAGGTCGCACGCCTCTGGAGCAACTAGGGGTTAAGTGTCTTGCTCAGGGACACACTGGTGGATGGGTCACAGTGGGGGATTGAACCCGGGTCTCTTACACCAAAGGCATAGTCTTATCCATTGCATCACTGCCACCACCACCACCTTAACTCGATATGTCCCAAGTTTGTCAGATTTTATAAAAAGAAAAAATATCTATCAATTTTAACTAAACAGGAGCAAAAGAGGGCAAATTTTCACCCCCCCCCTTTTTTTTTTATCCACCCTCTATTCCGCTGACTACAGGCATAGCCAGGCATCTTGCCACATTCAGCAATTTTCACTGCCTTAACTTAATCAAAGTGATGTCGCCTCCTTTGTGAATAGGTCAAACGTTTTACAACTAAATGCTGGAAAAACCAAAGATTATTGATTATAGGAGGAAGAAGGAGTTCTTCCTGTGATCATCAAAGATCAGCAGATCTTATAAATATCTTGTGTTTGCCTTGATACCAAATTAAATTGGAAAAAGAACACAGACATTGTTTTCAACAAGGCCCAGTCAAGGAGATTTTACCTAAGATGTGAGCAGAAATCTGTTTTATACTTTTTATCAAGGCACTATAGCCAGCGTTCTTTTTCCTTCTGTGCTTTGCTGAGGAGGCAGCATTACTGTAGATGATAATGTTTAATCAATGTTGATTAAAGAAGTTGGCTCTGTGATTGGCCTTGCCCCTGATTCACTGGTCATCTTACATAAGAGTGCCAAACTAAAGAATTTCATGGATCTTGTAGACCACCCAATCCACAGTGTCCTTAGGACACTTAGTAGTTCCTTTAGTTGCCGACTGAAGATGCCCCGGTGTTCTACTGAACGGCTCAGACTTTAATTAGATTTTTTTAATGATTATTTACTGATTTTAGATTTTAAGGTTTTCGGCTGGTCATATTTGTCAGCTCTAATGCAGATTCAGAAGACGTTAAATGGGGGCATTGTTTTTCACTTCTTGTCCTGTGTGTGCATACTGGTAGTCTTTTCTGTTTATATTGTATGTTGTGTGATGTGAGCAGGTGGCAACTGAGTTTCCCCATTGGGGATTAATAAAGTTTTCTAATCTAATCTGATCTAATCTGATAACTGAAATCTGATGACTTGTTTATTTAGTAAGATGCATGTCGCTATTACTGTTTTTTGTAAAGTTAAATGTTTTTCGATTAAATAAAGGAGTATATGTTGAAGTACGTGGGATTTATTGTTTTTGTTTTTTGCCATGGTATCGAATTGGGTACACAGAATCGTGGAATTTCACTGGCATTGCTTTCGTCTACTGAATTTCTGGTATCGTGACATCCCTAGTCAATAGTCGGTGCGCATGTTGACCTCACCTGTCTTATGGCATGTCGATAATGCTGCTGCATTGCTGTGGTTGGTAACTGCCTGCAACATCTGAGGAGATATCGATAGAGCTGCACGGGTGTCTGGATCATCTCAGCTCCAACTAAAGGCGGCATTCCTTCATCTTTTGGTTGAACTGTTAGTAAAAATTAAAGTAAAAATTAAGTGTGCATTTGGGTTAGTGACAATATTTTTGTATTAACCATAGAAATAAGAAATCATAAAGAAGTAATGGCTTTGTATGTACAGTCCCATCCAAAGCATAGACATTGCTTCATGTGTGTTGCAGATATCACAGTGCAGCTTTGCACTTTTAAAACTTGACAGGCAAAGTCACATTTGACAGACACACAGAAACATGAGTCCAGTCTGATGCTACTGTTTCTGCTGGGCGTGTCAATGGGCAAGTGTTTGCTAACCTGTTTTATAAAATGATAATGTGGCAGGGCTGTCTTTTAGATCTATCTGCACGTGAAAATCTTTTTCAAATGTTCACAATATTCAGTGTCTCAAAGGATTTCACCTCTGTAATGTCTCAAATACCGATCTACATACTGATTCACATTAAAATAGTCTACAGAATAACTTGCTTTACTAAAAGAATATATTATTTGATTTTATCTTGATAAGCTTCACACGCTGTGGCGTTTCTTTTTCTCTCTCCTTGACGTTGACGTGACCTAAGCTGTTTATGTGCTAATGTTAGCTTAGTTACACAACAGTGCGTAGACAGAACCGTGTCCACATTATGACCACCACGCAAACTAGGAAATAAGCTTACTGCGAGTGAACTGTCGGCTGTCAGCAGGTGCTCAGCATCTTAAAAACCTCCTTGAATTCACATGACGAAAAGTAGCAGCCTTCTCCTCCTCCTGCTCCTCCTGCTCCTCCTTCTTCTTCTTCTTCTTCCTCCTCCTCTTCTTTTTCAGTGCTTATTGGCGATTGGCAAACCAGCTTAGAGGTGCTTTACTGCCACCAACTGGACTGGAGTGTGGAAAAAGAGATTGTGCAGGAGAAAAATCCCAACAACAACAAATAATAATAATAATAAATAAATAAATAAATAAATAAAAAACGTCATGATGTTTTGCCTTCCTTAGTGACTGAAGAAGGTGATTCCTCTTGATATTTCATTTCATTTCAATTTCAAAACATAGTGCATAGAAACCTTTATCATAATAAATGTACATAATAAATAACAACACATGTCATCATCGTAGTCCAGTGCAGCATTACTAATTGAGATGAGTACATTGTATGACATACAGGGCAAAGGTTGTGTGTTCTACAGTACAAGTAGCACATATTAGACCGTTTCTGGTTGGCTACAGTGTGCATTTTCCAGCTGGGTGCTCGCCTGTTTTACATAACGTATGATTGAGACCTGAAAGAGCTATCCTCAGACAAGTGATTATATTTGCTTTTCTTTTGTTTCCAGCCCACCACCCTCCCAGCACCAACATGTCTTTGTATATTATATGGATGTCATCCAGTTTCATTATTATCCCAATACTCCGGCCATGCTGATATATGCATGTGTCCCAATGAATGCCTTAGCTTCAGGTTTGCTGAATGGAGTTTGTGGGGCTACAAGTGTGTACGAGTGTTTGTTTGGCCAGAAAATGCACCTGCTCATTTCCCTCCACACCAACATGAGCAGGAATCCAAAAGAAGAGAGTATTCTTCATTTCCACCCCAATATAAGGAATATTTCATTATATCTGTTCTAAATGATGATCTGCCAGATCTTATGCTTGTTATTGCTGACAGATGCAATAACATTTTTATTTATTTGCTTTTCCTCTATCCACTGCAGGGCCAGTAATATTACCAGTAGCTCCGTGGTGTATACTGACACACGGTCTGACAGTCTTTTCTTAATATACGCCACTGTATATGGCTAACTGGAATACACACTGCTGCAGCTGCACACTGTATCAGGATCTTTGGAGCCATCTCTGAATTCAAACACTGAGTCTGAAAAATAATGGGACTTTAGTTAGATGGTAGTTAATAATAATAGTAGTTATCCTTCAATTCAAGGTACAAGGTATTTATAATTTTACAACACAGGGTTGTATAATTAGATGAAGAGCTATTTACAAAAACAAACATTATATACAAAACTTATCTTCACTACAAAATAAAATTATTGATGAATTGACAACTCTCACAGCCTCAGGGAAGAAGCTGCTCTGCTGTCTAGTGGTACGGCAGCAGACGCATACTGATCATGGTTTGATCGCTCTAATTATGTTGGCTTTATTTCAAATTAGGACTGCACTTTTGTTTAAGATAACTTCAAATTTCAACAGGCTTTCAAATACAAGGTATAAGGTAGGTTTATTTGTCACATTACAACAGGTTGTAGAGAGAGTCTACAGTTTCAGTAGTCTGATAGCTTGGGAGAAAAAGCTACTCTGCAGTCTGGTGGTGTGGCAGCTGAAACTCCTCTTTCCAGACAGCAGCAGGGTGAACAGGCTGCGGCTGGGGTGGGTGCTGGCTTTTATGATGTATGATCAGTGTTGGGGAGTAACAACGTAATGGAGTCTTTAATTACAAAATAAACGAAAATGTTCATGATTACATTGGGGGTTACATATGAATATATTGAATATGTTGATTGATATTTATTTTGCTGCTCTACATGTTTTTCATGTGCACAATTTGCCATTTCTAGCCACAGCTGTTTAGTAAAGGTTGATGCTATCCTGATGCTTTTGATTGGTTCTCCTGTTTGAAATGCAGCACCACCCATCTGCCAGGTACATTGCTTCTCAAGCTGTCTGAGAGTTCACATCATGTCTATAGATAAAAATGCATTTCAATGCTGGAAATTTAAAAAAGTTTAGAACATAACCAGCTGCCAGCTGTTAAAATGCTGTTTAACAGTGGTCAGTATTGAGTACTGCTGTAATAGTAACACTGCCAGGTTTAAACATTTGAAGGTGGTTAAAAAAATAATGAATTTGTATCTCAAAATAATGAGAAAAGTTCTCAAAAGTTGCATCAGCCTGTGTCTTGCTTCCTCATATGAACCAAAGCAACCGAGACAAAGCTTAGCAGACTCAAACTAATTCCATAATTGAAGACTACATTTGGATTCACAAATCATGAAAGTTTTGTGGTTTTGCTACAAAAGAACCAGCTTTGGCAGAGATGATATGGAACATTTAATTGGACTTTAATATTTGTAACCCACAGAAGACAATCTACAAATGTGTACAATGATGCGCAAATATTTCACTATCTGCAAATGTGTATTTTTACATTTGTGATGTTTAAAATCATATCCACAAAAATACAGGGTGATGTGTACACACAAAACTGTTTTTACACATTTGCAGATTACTTCGTGTGAATTTGTTGGTCACGTTACAGTTCCTTTTTACACATTTGTGGAATTTTGTCCAATGTGTACTGCGGAGATCTGTAAATAAACATATACACAAATATCTCACTACCGAAAATATGAAATAAGACAGCTGAAGCTGAAGTGGCATCCTTCACTCACCAACAGCTGCAAATGTCCGGCAAACAGCACAGCTACAGATGGACGCACCAGAAATGTTTGACGGCCGAGACAATTGTGACAGTGAAACTGTGCATCAATTGATGTGACTGATGAACAGGAATGGCGTAGATCTGTACGTACGTATGTCAGTCGTGGGCCTAACTACATATGGCTTATAGGAGGGTATGGCCAAATGAATGCCTTATGGCATATGTATCAGAGGTTGCATAGATGGCTTCTAGAGGAAAATGATATGGCCAGAAGCATATAAAAAAACAGTAATGACCTTTGTATTATTGCAGGATATTTTATAGATGCTATGACCAAAACAATGGAAGCCCACAAAAAGTCAGGTTAGATCAGGGTACTGAGAACACCTACGTTTATACACAACAGTGAGGATAAGTGTGGTACCGCCTCAGATGATTGTCGAACCTCAGGTTCAGGAGCAGCATTGAGTATTTTCAAAATGTAGTAATCGAACATGGTTTTAATGAGAATTTAAATTTAAAAAGGTTAATACTAATTTTACCGTGGTTTATCATCAAACCGGGAACCGTTTCATTCCTAGTGGCCACTTTATGGGACCATCGTTATGAAGAGGGAGCTGAGCTCTCACATAGTGGGCATCACCACACAACAGCCACACTGACACCACAGAGTGTTGCCGACCCGCTCTTCACCCCAAACTACCTCCGGCTGTTTGACTTCCACAGGTACCGCTACTTGGTTCTCATGCCGTATCGGACACACGGGCTCAACAGGCCTTTCAAGTTCATCTACCTCCATTTCCAAGTAAGTGCAAGCATCAGATCTGTGGTTGTTATGTTCGCATGGTGTCTGGGCTCACCCTTAGAGATAGGAAGAAGAGCTCAGACATCTGGAAGTAGAGTAGAACCAAGGTCACATTAAAAGGAACCAGCTGAGATGGATCTGATTCCTTCTGGGAGAAATGTAAATGCTCTGTATAGCGCCTTTTCTACTCAAAGTGCTTTTACGCTTTACATCTTATTCACCAAGCCTAAGTGCCCAAACAGAAACTAACACTCACACACATTCATTTTGGGGTTCATTATCTTGCCCAAGGACACTTCGGAGGAGCCGGAGATTGAACCGCCGATCTTCCGGGGTTTTTTCACAGACCATGAATAAACTAGATAGAGATTTAATTAGATCAATGTTTATTGTTCACCAAAATATATCTTTCACAATAGAATGAATGAACATACAAGTGGTCATGATATACCCATCAACAACAACAACAACAAAAAGATTGTCAGTACATTTTAAGTAAAATGTGAGCATACTTCCAGTTACAATTATTTGTCTTTGGTTGTTCTCTAAGTGCCCAGTATACTTGTAATGTGCAGTCCAGATGCATACGTTAACAACCCCCCCCATGTAATTCAAACAAAAATTAAACTTAAGATAGCACCAAACATAACTACGTGAGCATGTTTTGTCCTTGTGACATTACTGGATGCAGTGTGGACACAAAAAAATAGTGATACAGTAATTCATCTATTTTGCTTAAATACATTTATATAATAGCATCAGCATATAATTCTAAAGATAATATGCTACAGTATAAAATGATTAAGGCTGAACAAGTTTTATTTCAACTAAGATTTTCAAGATTTTCGATTATATTATAGAAGTACAAAAAATACCAAATTTCAGTACTATCATGATAAATCTTAATTTAATCTATCGACATGTTAAAAAAATTATTTAACTCTTTAACTATTTAACAATGATTTGATATTCAGACACAAGAAGTTAATGTTTTGGGACTCCAAACTGTGATATGACAACAAAAATATAGACACAAACTAGCTCAAACAAACTGCTTTTAACTAGTGTTTCAGGTACAATGATTCTCTAGTGCAACCGTTTGTCCTTAGGTTTTAATAAAGCAATGTAAACACCCTGTTTACTTTTCTCAAGGAGAAGACCAAAGTCCTAACATCCCTACACTGATAGAATGGCAACACAGTGTAGAATAAGCATGAATTTGTAGTTACTGTGTCACACGGATATGAAATGTACAGTACATGCTGCTGAAAGTGGCTCAGTCGATTTTTGCCCTCATCAACTGCTGATCTGGCTTTGTGCGCTGGAGGTAAGTCCTGATGTCTGAGGTAAAACAGGTATATGCTGATTTCTAAGATGACTGCTCTGCAACATGAGTCACTGCCCTCCACACTTGGTTGGCAGTAGAACAGATCAGATTTTATGTTCTGTCCTTTTAGCAGCATAAAATGAAACAAATTCCCACATGAGATAGGTTGTTTTCTGTGCACCAAAAAGAGACCAGGTCTGAAAGGACTTTAGGGAGGGCCTTGAGATTTCAAAGAGGAGTCAAGCAAAACCTATCGCTCAGACTTGACCTTGTAGCGGAGGACAAGGTAGGTAGCCAGCCGTAGGATGATGAAGAAAATGCCCAGGACAATGAAATCTATGTAGAGCTTTGCATCTTCCACATCTAATAACTGCAGCACCTCTTCAGGCTGTTGGAACTTGCACACCTTCCCCGGACACTCCAGCTCTGAACGGTTCATCCCGTAGATAGACAGGATCACCCCTTCAAAGCCATACCTGTGGGAGAGATACAAACACTGAGACAAATTCACAATTGCAAACAGAATTAATTCATCAGAATTAATTCATCTCGCTTCAAACCAGCTCAAACTTTAAACTAGAAATTCTTCAACTCAACTAAAGTGAAAGTGAAAGATTTGGATGGATCTTACAGCGTTTTCAGTAATGAGGTTCAAAATGTTACATTTGTCTGTGTGGTTGTAAATTCAATAAAAAATGAGGTCAGTAAAGTCAGTAGGGTTAATCCTGTGCTCAGCAAATGTCATGGCAATCTGGTTATTCGATTAGAAAGCTGACAAGGAGTGTCTAAATTAAAAAGGGTTAATCTTCTGGGAAACATTCACAGCAAATTCTATGAATATCCAGCAATTAACTTTTGACATAGCTTTTATGAGTCTTTATGAGTTTATTAAGTGGAACATTTTGAAATGATAGTGGTTCGAAATGTCAGTATTACAAACTACTTAGAAACCAACCTATGAGGACAATTTCAGTTTATTACAAGCTACTTATTTTAGTAGCGCTGGATATTGTTTCTATCACTTATGTTAACATTGTGCTCATCAAGTTACTTAATGATATCTGGCAACACAGTGACATCGCTAAGGGTCCTGATGGGTCAGAGAGTTGGAGCACGGGCTGGAAACTGCAGGAAACAAGCCAACAGTTTAGCCAGATATCAAAACTGCTTTATTGAGATTTAGACTGAAAGTTAACAATTTAGAGGCATCAATTATGCTAATGATCAAATCTCACAAACACACACCTCTTCAAGAACAGGTGGCATTCATCTGGCTGAAACAACTGATAAACAACAAGTTCGTGCAGTTAAGAGTCAGACTGACTCTGACTTGGAAGTCTCGCATGAGCAAACCTCAAAGAAAAAAGTAAGAGAAATTTAGAATAAGATCATGAAAATGTTATTACATGATGCTCAATATTATATTGGTACATTCCTGGTTAAGTGAGTATTTAGTTTGGTGAAGCCAGCCCTTGAACAATGCAGGAAATTTTCCCTATTTGGAAAGACAAATTAAAGTATAACCTGCTTCTAGTCCGTTATAGTCCCTTATTGCACAGGAAAACAGGAAAACTGTGTGCACGCATAAATAGGATGGATAAATAGGACATGTTGCTGTGGACAAACCAACTGAGAGAAATCATCATCTTTATGGCCCACTTCTAATGAAAAAAAAAAAAAATGCCCATACTGGTACACACCTGACATAAGACACATAGGAGCTCCACTGCAGATACTTGGGGATTGTGTCGAAGTTCACAAAGAATCCAGAGAAAAGCAGCACTGGGATAGCTGTGACAGGTCCAACAAATGTGGCTACCTGTATAAGGATGCAGCAGACATATTCTGCCTTATATGCATAACATGAGCCAAGAAATCCTATATTTCACAATGCAAACCTGCAGTACCTGTAGTGAGGTGGAGGCGGCCCCAACCAGTAGGCCCAGGGATTGGGCTACCAGGGCAGTACAGGTGGAAAGGGCTATGAAGAGAAGGTAGCGGCTGGCCTCAGGAGGCTGCTCTGTCATCCAGTACACTATGCTGCAGTACATGATGGGGCAGATCACCTAAAATAAAACTGCTCATTAGTGAATGGACAAACTGAAAGTTTTCTTTATCTAATTTACCCTCACACTGATGTCAGTGGAAACTGTTCTGAAGCTGGGGCAACAACCACACACAGAGAATTAGGCTTTTATTTTCCATACCAGCCAAATCACAAACAACTGAAGCTCTGTAAATGGCCTTTTTATAAATTCCAATAAAGGCATGTTAGGAAATTTCCCTTAAATGTTCTAGGGTCAATTTAGTGCTTAAAGGTTCAGTGTGTAAGTTTTAGTGGCATCTAGTGGTGAGGGTTGGAACTGCAACCAGCGACTCACTCACCGCTTATCTATCCCTTTGCAAGAGCGTAGGAGAAGCTACAGCTAATTTCTCTTCTCTTCTTCTAACAAATCAGACAACTACAACTACTTCTTCTTCTTCTTCTTCTGCATCAAACGTAATCAACGTAGTGACGAAACATGCTCTGTAAAGCTGTTTGTCGGTTTAGGCTACTGTAGAAACATGGCGGCGGAATATGGCAACTTCCATGCAAGAGGACCTGTGGTGTATGTAGATGAAGCCACTATCATACAATACATTAAATATAATTATAAATGCTTTTGGATAAACGTTTGGATTATGGAACATGAGCTAGCACTGTGGTTCGCAAACATTTTTAGACCAACCCCCAATATCAACATGTCCTTGTACCTAAACGACAGAATAGCCAATCATTTCGACAATGACAACACGACTCTGTTTCAAATCTTTCCATCACTTGCTCTCATGGCCACTATTTTCAGTATTTGTTTTTAATATGGTGATTATGATATTTTTTGCTTTTTTCTTCTGTTTTGATTTGTATAAAAACATAACATCGAACGTAGGTCACGTAAATGTTAGCAATTTATTTTATGCAGTCAAACATTAAAAATGCACAAATATTAACAATGATGTTATAAATCTTGCAGCAACCTTGGCCCATCCTCAAGGCACCACTTTGGGCACCACTGAGCTAGTAAAAGAATTTAGATTTCACGATTGATACTTCAGTTGTTGTATTAGCTAACTTTGGGGTTAACTGTTCCTTTAACGTTAACAACAATAAGATTTACAATATCTTACTCAAAGTTTTCAAACATTATAGAACATCATCCATGTCATCCAACTTATTTGCCTGAAAATTCACTAAATTGATGTCAGCAGAAGACCAGGATACACCACATGCAACGCAATATTATATTAGTATGTTTATAGTAAACTTTGCATTTAGTTTTGCTGGAGTCAGCCTCTAAACAAGGTAGGAAGCATTCCTACTTTGAGTAGAAACAAAATGTGTACTATTTAAACTGAGAATGATTAGAAAGTGCTCAAACCTTGCCCTGCAGGAATGCTGACAACCAGGAAGTGCTTTCAGCTAACTCTAGAGATGAGTGGTGAACTGCATAGTTGCATTTTGCTGTGTAAGAGGATTGTCAGCACTCAGGCCCTCAGAGAGCCAACTATAACATCTCACCTGGAATGGGATATCAGCCATGGTCTTGGCCAGGTAGTAGGCTTTCAGGCTGTACCAGTAGTTAAGATGCTCCCTCAGGAACACAGACATCTCCAGAGGAACTGAACAGATGGTGAATAAACCCGTTCACATACATCTGTCATTATAATTTATTGGCAGAACAGTATGAACAAACTGAATGTAAATATAAGTCAGTTCCCTCCCCTCGATGAGACTCACAGGTTAACACGGTCGGCATGAGCGCTCCAAACATGAGGAAGAGCATAGAGAAGAAGAGGAACCCGGTGTTGTTAAAGACCTTGCTGGCATCATTGCCGATGTTGAGATACAGCAAGCCTATTAGCACACCTATGGCGATGTGGGACATCAGTCTGAGGTGGGTCAAAACCTGAGAACAGAACAGAAGCAGGAAAAAAATTTATATCCAGTCTCAGACTTGCATAATAAACTGCCTGATTGTTTTCGCTCAATTTCTTTAAGGTGACTTAATCTGGCACTTTTCCTTCTACCTTTTCCTCATGTTTGAAACCAGCGCACAGCTACAATACTTATACAATATTTGTGAACAAATGTTGTCACCCACCTGATCTCGACATATAGTTATGAAGGTTCTCTTGAAGAGGATGCAGAACTGTGTTAGTGTGCTTGTGGCAAAAGTATGGCTTTCTATGCCGACATCCTGGAGAAAATGGAAGTAGATAATCTCATAATACTGACAAATCTGTCTACAATTATACCCCACATAACAAAAGTGCTGCACAATTCACATTCTGCTGTCAGGGCCAGATTAACATACTGTTGGGCCCTGTGGCAAAAATTAAGTGTGGGTCCCCCCCCCACAACCTATTTTGACCCAGAAACCAACCAGTCTTCCTCAACTAGAATATACTACAATGGCTCCATGTTTGATATATGTAATTTAGCTAGAGATAATTTGATGATAAATACATTTATTTTCAAGAAATTGTTTGATATTTTGGGATATAACGCTTGGTCTGCTTTCTTGCCGGGAGTTAGATAAGATTGATACCACTCTCACGTCTTAACTGTAAATGTAAAAGGTACAGCCAGGATATGGTAATCTTAGCTTAGACCAAAAACAGGGCTGAAATCGCTAGCCTGGTTCTGTCCTAAGGCAACAAAATCCACCTAGCAGCACCTGTATCGAGTTACGAAGCGGGAACAAATTTCCTTTAAATTCTCAATTTTACAAATAATATTACAACAAATTAGCAATTATTCAATTTACCACAAAGTAACTGCCATACAATGAACAGGCAGTTTGCCCAGTTAGTAATCCAGCCATGGCTGCAGTACAGCATCACAACATCTACTACGCACCACCGGGCACTTTGTTGCACAGACTGATGGGCCATTGTTACCACATTGGTTCTTCTTCTCTTCTAATGCACACATTCCACCTTGGACTGCCTCAAACAGCACAGGGTTCAAGTCTCCATACTCTCCTGATGCCACTTCAATGACTGAACCAGAGACAAAAGCAGAAAGACATAAAGGAAGGAATTAATAATGTTTCAGAACATCCTCAGCACAGTGTGGCATATACATGAATAAATGTGAAGTGGACATACTGAAGTCTGCAGGGTTGTGGTAGGTGGGACAATAAAGGCCCAGAGTCTTCAGATAGGGGATGAGGTAAGGAACCGTGCCTTTGTAGATACACTGTCCCTGACTAAGAATGTAAAGCTGTGGAAGAACAAAATTATTCAAGGCTGACAAGCAAACGGCCTTTAGTCAGTTTCCAACTGACAGAAACTGGAATTTATTGTCTATGCGCCACAGCTTCTTATAAAATAAATAGATACTGGAATGTTCAGCCATCCATTCATGTCCTCATTTATTGACAGATTTGTACCTTGTCAAACATCTCAAACAGTTTGGCGCTAGGTTGGTGAATGGTGCAGATGATGGTCCGTCCTCCCAGTGCTAGAGAGCGCATTAGTGATACCACCTGGTAGCATGAAGCACTGTCTAAGCCACTGAACAGAGAGAGAGAGACATACAGAAAATTAAATGAGCAGCTGAGAAGTGATCTGAAAGCTTGACATAAACCAGAAAGTACTGAGCTATTATGACAATGACCCCCATTTATTATTTAATTTTGAATACCACTCACATCTCTCATCTGTACATAAAGTCAAACCTTGTGAAAATGACAATTTGCCATTTTACACACTGGACCAACTCTTGGTTGGGACCAATAACTCTCTCTCTGCTGGTTGTCTGGCAACTAGTCCTGGCTACGAAACAGTCCTTTACAAAATCTATCTCTTGGTAAGAAAGTAAAAATGCATATTTCTCAAAATGTTTAACTTTTCCTTTAAGGTCAACTGATTTTGTTTTGGTGTTAATTTTCAGGTTCATCATTTTATTTAGGGGTTGTACCAGAACAGGTTTACATGGTTTCAGTTTATAAAAAACACCGTATTTTTTTCATACTGCACATTGCTGCAGCTCCTCTTTTCACCCTGTGTGTTGAACGCTCAGTTTTAGCTTAGTGAAGCATCTCACCAGTAACCATGGCCTCTTGTCAGTGTGTGGTCAGGTTGTAAATGAGCAAAAAGTTTGGCCGGATTCTATGTGCCATTTTATTTGGAGGTAAAATTTTAAGTTATTGCACAGTAATGTTGGAAAATGTGCAAACAACTAAGCTTAGTATGGAAGGTGAAAGTTTAACAAGGATGTTGGGTTTGTTGCTGATGTTTGGGCAGACAGTTTGGGTAATAAGTGTACTTACCTTTTCTTTCTTTTCCAAATAGTAGAACTACTACTAGTTCTGGCTGCTTGTTTTCTTTCCACTTTTTAGCAATGTTGCCATGTTCTAAAATCTCAACAATTTGGTGATTACAATGTTATCGTACCAAATAGAAATAATCACTAAGCCAAGTTTTAGTAAAGCTTAATTATTCTTTCAAAAGGTGGAGGTTTACTACAGAAAACTATGTTATTCTTGTCAAGGAGTACTTTAGTCATTATTAGGGTTTCCATGAGATAAACATCTAGAACTCAGCCATAGGTCTACCTTTTGCCACTCTGTATGGGCTCCACTGTATATGCTCGTGTGTTCTGACACCTTTCTATCAGAACCAGCATCAACTTGTTCAACACTTTCACCTACAGAAGCTCGTCTGTTGGATCGGACCAAACGGTTCAGCCTTGGCTCCCCACATGCAGCAATGAGCCTTGGTCGCCCATGACCCTGTCGCCAGTTCACAGCTTTTCCTTCATTGGATCACTTTTCATAGGGACCACAGACAGGAGATGCTCTGACACAGTCCTCTGGCCATCACAATTTGGCCCTTGTCAGAGTTACTCACACTTGTCCATTTTTCCTGCTCCTCATACATCAACTTTGAGGAAAAAATGTTCACTTGCTGCTTAATATATCCCACTGACAGGTGCCATGGTAACGAGATAATCAGTGATTCACTTCCCCTATCAGTGGTCATAATGTTATGGCTGATTGGTCTATGTCCAACTGAAATATGCCTTTAGGTTGCCCGCAATTTTGACTTTTCTGGAACAAAAGAATTCAAATGTTTTGTCCCAGTGTTCACATTTACAAGTAGAATATTGGCAAAATATGGTGGGGATCAAAGTGTACTGTGCATTGAATATTCATTGCTGCATATCTGGATGATCAAATCTCATTTCAAATAATAGTGTGTTACGTCTAAATCTAACCATCATCCCCACAGCTGCTATTCTCTCACCTGGTGGGCTCATCAAAGAACATGACTGGAGGGTTGTTGACCAGTTCGAGGGCGATGGCCAATCGTTTACACTGACCACCTGACAGCGAGCTGGTACGAGTGTGAGCACAGTCAAGGAGCCCTAATGCAGTCAGAATCTCATTCACCTGGACAGAGAAAGTCAGATAGAGAGTGACCGACAAAGTCAGATATTTGACAACAGCTCAAAGAGTGAAGTGTATATACCTGGAAAATGTTCCCTTTATGCAAAGTGGGTACACTGGTGTGTCTGCAGAGAGGAGCGTGTCAAGCAAGTGACATTCCTCCGTATTACTTTGACTTTGGTGTTTTTGGTGTGACTTTGGTGTGTTTAAAGCCAGGATACAGTATTCAAGGATAAGTATTATTGTTATTACCCTTTTAATGTCTATATTAAGCGGAGAGTTTGTTTGATTAGCTCACCAGTTTTTTCTTCACATCCATAGTTTCACCCAGCTTTAAGTTGGCTGAAACCTGCAGCAAAGAGAAAAAAAGTGTCATAAACTTGCAATGCAACAGGTATTTGTGCAGGGAGAGCAAATAGGTGGCAGTCTTGGTCAGAAGCCCATCCCTGCAGCATCTTGGCAGAATAACTACCAACCTTGAACCTAGTTCAAACAGAAGTTTCAAAATAAAAACACACTTTGGGGATGTGTTCCATTTTTCTTGCACCTGTCATCAGCAGCTCACCATCATGGCCTCCCGTGCAGTGAGGTGTGGCAGCAGCATGTCTTCCTGCATGATGTAGCAGGACATTTTCCTGAATTTCCTCAGGTCTCTGGGTTTCCCATTTACCAGGATCTGACCCTTCATCCCTGTTTCCCTGGGCAGCAAGAAGGACACACACACTCTAGACAGGTCAATGTGCTAGACAGAGTGTATTGGAAGGAATAGAACAAACAAATGATGCACAAACACATGAGCTCCTACACCAGTTATCTAAAGCCTTAATTTCTGTATTGCAGTGTCTATGCCATATACACCTGTGATGTAATTCTCCTAACTGTGCAGCTAATCTGATCCACATATGGCTTTTGTGGATGAAATAAAGCAACTTTGTCTTATAATATTGAGGAAAGCATTACAACCCCTTTACTTAGCTGAGGGAAAGTGAGCTGAATTTTGGCACTCACCTGTATCCAGCCAGAATGTTCATTAAGGTGGATTTCCCGGCCCCTGAGGGCCCCATGATTCCTATCAGCTCCCGACTGCAGAACCTCCCAGACAGGCACTTCAGTAAGGCTTTGAAACCTGGGAAGAGCAAAAGGGGGCATTGATGGCATTGAACACTTGTGAATTTGGAATGGCTTTATCAACAATAACAAGGAAAATATCACTTCAACTAGATCTTAACATTCGTAGGGACTGAAAATAAGGGAAATGTCCAGTGCAACAATGATTGGGTCAATTCATTTCTACATAAGTAAGAGCCTATAATCAGGGGGTCAGAATGTGATACCTGTCTGAAACTGAATTGCTGTGAACATCCCTGCATTATATAAATGAAAACGCAACAGGGCACGTAAATTCAGCACTTGAATGATGCTATGTAAACATCACTTATGCTGACAGTGTGCTTCAATTGTTACTGGTTAAGTGAGATAACTGGTAGAAGAGAGTGATTTCGATGTTGCTCTTCATTAAGTACGACTAAGCCTCCTTCCATTTGGTAAAGATTTTAGGTGTAACAGAGTTTATTTAGTATATGATTCCACTTGCCGTAAATCAGTCATTCATTATCCATGTATGTGTGTGGATTTAGTGGCTTGGGGGTGCCCTCTCTCACGGTTTTGTAACGTTGATAGTTAATGAGTGAGAACTACATGAACACGTGCACTTATGGAGAGGTGTATTGGTGTACTTTTTAAGTGCTAATGTTTAAGTAACGACAAAATACATTCTCTACCTTCTAATTACCTGGCTATCATCTGTGCTAAAGTGATTTGCTGCTCTCTTGTAGTGTGCTGTGTGTGAGCTGCCTAAAGCGAGCCAACTGTATGACTGACCAGTACATATTCTGTTCCCATCCAGATAATAAACAGCGGCATTAGAGATAGATGCACTTCGTATTTATCATTCTACACAAAATGCAGAGTTGAGGGGTTGACAGAACCAGCCAGTTACAGTCAAGTGTAGCTGAGCGCGGTTACTCCATCCCTCTAACATTCATCCATCCTTGAATCCTCGTGCGGCTGTTCTTATTCTTAGGCTGCTCTTCTTCTTGTTTTAATGGTTTATTGTTATTGAGTGGATGTCTTCCCGTCACTAGATGTTACAGGTATACTCACACCTGCTTTACCAGAGGGGAATGTAGCAAATATCAAATACGTCCAACAGGGTTTTTGTTTTGAAACCTGCAAATATTTATTAAGATAATACTTATAACATTAATAATAATGCCAGAGAGAACACACGCAGATACAGGGAGAACATGCAAACTCCATACAGAAAGTCCAAGGTAACTGGGGTTTGAACCCACAACCTTGTTGCTGTGAGGTGACACTGCTAACCACTGTACCACCGTACTGCCCTGCCGACAGCTATCATGTATTGTGTGTTACATCAGTCATATAGTATATATGACTGATTTAATCTCCATTCCATATTTATATCTTTACACTTTTGCATTCTTCATTACAGTTTAGAGATTGACAGTGTTGGGCAAGCTACTTGGAAAATGTAGTGAGCTAAGCTACTAGCTACTCTACATTAAATTAATCTTCACTACACAGAATCTACCCCCCAGTGAAATGTAGCAAGCTAAGAGATCGAGATATATCTCCCTCTGTAGTCTGGGACTGCCAAACAAAAACTATAACTAAAAAAATACTAATAATACTGCCATCTATTCCTCATGTCATTACAATTATTATTTTAAATTATAATAATAAATAGGGCTCTCCTACATAGGCAATATATATTTTGTCGTGCAGTACTACACTCATACTCTGCCACATTGAATATTTTCAATGCATAGCATATTCACATCTAGTTTATCCCTTTACCAGCACTCTTTAATTCAAAGCTACAATATTTATATATATTTTTCAACTGCTGCCATGGACTGGTGACCTGTCCAGGGTGTACCCCGCCTTTCGCCTGGTGTCAGCTGGGATTGGCTCCAGCTCCCCCCCCAGTACGCAGGATAAGCGGTTGATGATGGATGGATGGATGGGATTTCTCAACCACCATCTATGATACAGTGAGGAAGAGGAAACGCTGCTCTTGAATGCATCTAATACTATATGACTGTCTAAAAGGAAGACTTTCAACTTTGAGATTTCATGCCAACATTTCACATTTGAAAGAGGAGCTAGATAACTTTGTTTGGCATGAAGCCATGTTATATACTTACATGTCCCCTCTAGTTTAATTATTTCCTACGCCCGACTTTAACTACACACAAGCGACTCACAGATATATTTAGAATACGTTTTGCACAGCTACTCTTCCTTGTTCGTTCTGCATGGCACGGAAGACTCTCTGCACACGCAGTAGCGAATTCTTTTGTTTTGTGGTGTGCAATGTTATCAACAGGGGAGTTTCAGAGCGCCATCTGGTGGGCAATCTATGCAACACACATGACATGAGTCAAGGATCCAACTCTCTTTCTTTTTTAATAATCATAAATCGCCTGCTATAAACGCAGATACTGATTTATCTGCAATTAGCTCATATCAGCCGATAATATCTGCAAAACTATAAATCAGTCGGGCTCTTGTTATATTGTTATCAACCCCGTTTTTCCTTCAATAGAAAATCGCAATGTGAATAATCATGCTATAGATGTAACAACTTGACTGAATCACACTGACACAGTTTTGTGTGCCAACCTCAGTGATGGTGATCAGAATCATTAATTGAAGGCAATTTTAATATTCGTTACTGCATCTGCATGGAAGAAAGGCTTGCCATTATTGTGTATTTCAACTTTCCATTTAACAGTAAATCGAGGGATTAAAGCCTGGGATGCATGTGGATCATTATCTTCAGTGCAAAAGGTTAAAAAAGTATATGACTTTGATATGTATTGATTACACACAATGGCAGTTCAAGGCATTGCTACTGCTTTTGTATATTAGACTACACTGTGCAGTGTCCATTTATCCTCTGTGTGAAATCAATGGACACTGAAGGATCCTGGGGATGGCAGTGTGTCAAAAACAATCAGCCCTGCTCCGTCTTCTGTTCCCTCCGCCTCTATGTGGGGAAATGATCCCAACAAGAAAGATCAATAAAGCTCAGGCTTTGCTACAGTAACTGTAAGCATCAGTTCAGCACTCGGTGCTGGAGGCCTCAGTCAGTCAGTCATGTGCTACAAGTTTAGTTCAATTATGTTTCTGAAAAGAGAAAGGGCATGAAGATATATAGCCTGGATGACAGATAGAAACATGTCCAGTAACATTATTTTTCTCGATCTGACACTTGCAGAGGACAGTTACTGCAAGGCCAAATGCATGCAAATTATTTACCTCACTGTAGCTACTGGGCCAGATAGAAGCAATAGAGCAAGGCTGGCATTAAGCTACCACTTTTACCAGACGATGGCAAAACTGATATGTGCATCCTAAAAGTTGCCATGTCTGATCCACAACTCATAACACAACTGAAGAGATCTAAAATTACATGCCAAGCAACACATGGTATTTAAAGATTTCTATTTGTCTAGCATCATAGAAGCACGTGTTTAAAAATAATAATTCACCCATAATATATCCTTCTAGCATCAAAGACTGACCTCTTGTAGGCTTGAAAAATGGCTGCAAAAATGTTAGCCTGACTTCATTTCCATCTTTTCACGTGACACAATGTCTACAGAAACCTTTCAAAACGCATAGTGCACTTTGCCACTCTCCATCTGCAGAGTGGCCAAAAAATATTGGTACCCTTCCACCTTTGAATGGGCCATGTGTGGTTTTCATTGACCTTTAGCGGTGAGGTTTCAGATTGCAACCACTAATTATGTGCTCAAACTAATTAACGAGCACTCGGTATCAGCCAAAACAGAGACATAACAAGAGACCGCATCGTTCAAAATGCAGAAAACTCAGGTAAACTCTACCTGCAATGTTACAGTAATATTTTTATCAGTTTGATGTTGAACTAATCCATGCTTGTTACATGATAGCTACATTGACTGCATTTGGCAGACATGATACGTCAGAGCTGTGTATATCTTTCACTAGAGAGGCTCAGCAATGTCAGCATTTCTAAGATGTATTGGATGATAACAAAAATGCTTAGTGAGATAGACTGAATATAATATAAGTGAGATTGTTGCCACACTTTAGAACAATTATCAAAAGTTGCTCTGTGTATCATCAGCTTAGACAGCTGTGGTGTCCGAACAATAATGCTGCGATGATGTGTTGATGGGTTTTGGTTCTGGATATTGTCATGCATCTCTCCTTCTGCCTGTTCTTCCCTATTGTCATCCCGGCTCTCTTGAGCCTTCACCATCTTGGCTGTCCACGCGTGGAACCTCTTCACTAGGCACTTTAACACAATGTGATCAATTATACCACGTTGGAGACCCTTTAACTTGGACAGCTGTTCTGGTACTACGAACCACTTCAAATGGTCCCTCACGGCGTTCGTTATACCACTTCCTCCTAAAGACCTTCACGAACACCTTGTCCCCAGGTTGCACTGTACTCCTTTTTTGCTCATCGAGCTTCTCCTGCACCTCTTCTCTCCTTTGCCTGTCAGAAACATATGTGGATAATATTTTATGGAAATTGGCCATATTTGTGACATACGCTCTCATTTTCGTCTTCTAAAAGAGCCAAACTTGGACCCTTGCCACTTCTTCCTGTGACCAATTCATGGGGCGTTATACGTAAATTACGCAGCTCACTTGAGCGACACACCATTAACGCCAAAGGGAGCGCCGCTATCCAGTTTAGACCAGTATGTTGGCAAATCTTGACAATGCGATTTTTCAAAACACCATTCATTTTTTCACATATCCCATGACTTTATGGGTGATAAACTGCTCCAAGACGTTGTTTAATTCCCAATTTTTGCTAAATCAATTTCACTGTTTTATCCACAAACTCTTTCCCATTATCTGAGGATATTCGATCTGGAAGTCCCCACCTGCTTATGACCTCTCTACACAAGAACTCGGCAGCCGACTGAGCGTCTTTCCACTTGGTTGGACAGGCCTCCGGCCATCGTGAAAATCTATCCACAACCACTAGCATGTATCTTTTCACTTCAACTGGTTTTATCATATTGACAAAGTCAACAACCAACTCACGCATAGGACCCCTTGGGGTGGGAATGTAACCAGGAAGAACAGTCACACCCCTGCGGACATTATTTTTCAGACAGATTGTACACCTGCCTATGACGTAGTCAATCTGTTCAAGCAAATATGGTGCCCAAAAACCATACTCCTTTGTGATTTTTCTCCTAACCTCCCCCCTGGCAACATGAGCTAACCCATGTGCTTCCTGAATCATCAGACCTAACAGGTCCAGAGGTGCTACTATCAGCCCCTCCTGATTTCTCCAAAGACCGATAGAATCCTTAACAGCACCTCAGTCTAGCCATAACTGTTTATCAGTCATAGAAGCAGCTTCCTGCATCAAAATCACATCCTTAAGCGTAATTTTGTCTTCCAAGTCCACCCCATGAGTGACCAGAAAAACCTTGCCCAATTTGTCAGCTCCTGTGACAGCTTTTGCAGCTTCATCAGCAGCTTTGTTCCCTTGTGTCACTCTTGACACATCTGTTTTATAAGCTGCACACTTAGCTATCGCTATCTCTTTAGGCCTCATCATAGCATGCAACAGTTTTATTATTTGTGCGTGATGTTGTATCGGAGAACCATCCGTTTTCTTAAACCCCCGACCTTTCCACACTGCTCCAAACAAATGACATACATTATGTGCAAATGCAGAATCAGTATATATTGTCACTCGCTGTCCGTCTGCTAACAAACACGCTTCTGTTAGCCCCACAAGTTCTGCAAGCTGTGCAGACACAGGCTGTTACTAACTGGATGGGTCTTCCACTTGTGTTGTGTCCTACACTGTTATATTGCATCATTGTATATTATGTGGGTTATGTAAATTGTGGAGACTGAGACTGGTGAATAAGCTGTGTACCTGAGTATTGTAAAAAAAATAATAAATCTAAATTGAACGTTACGAAGCAAAACAATGCCAGTTCCATGCTAACGTAGCTGGCTGCCCCTGACTTGCATCACTATAGACTTGCATAAGAAATCTTACACATTTGCTTTGTACGGTTATGTATCTTTTCTTATAGGCTAAAATTAACACTTTGGCATAAAACCGATGGTAAACAGGATAGTAATATGGAAGTTTCGACTACAGAATTTTGCAACGGATAACGTTAGATAAAGCTCTACAGGAGTGTTTGTGAAAGGATTAACAGTTTTCACTGTTAATCACTGTTTCAATATTATCACTTCCGCTGACACACCATTAGTTTTCAGCTACACCTGGTCAAAATTACACAACCCTCAAATTGACTGGTCAGCTGGAAAGGTGGTGGGTTGGAGCACCATCCTGTTTGTGATCTGCTTTACCACCTGCGGAAGGCGCAGTCAATCCATCTCCGCCAGACCTACCTGATGGATCTACTATCCCCAAAGACTACTATGTGCAATAGATCTGCTCCCTGGTGCGTCACTTCCTACTAGTCGCGTTTATATTCCGTCACTCCCTAAAAGAGAATCACTGAAACATACATCAATAACTCTCTAGCTGCTGGTCTCATCTGTCCATCCTCCCCTCTGGGTGCTGGTTTCTTTATGTTGGCCAAGAAAGATAAATTGCTCTGCCCTTGCATTGACTATTAATTAAATGACATTCCTGTAAAAGAAATAAAATAAATCTTTGCCGCTAATAAACCCTACCTTTGAGCCTCTTCTTCACAAAACTGGACCTCAGAAAGGCATATCACCTTGTCAGGATCAGAGACTAGTTGAAAACAGCATTTGACACCCTCCTCGGACAATTTCAGTATCTGGTAATGCCGCTTGGCCTCACTAATGCACCAGCTGTATTCCGAGCCTTGGTGAATGATCTCCTCCGTGAAGTTCTACATCGTTTTTGTTCATCTACCTAGATAATTTTCTCATCTTCTCTCAATAACCTGTCTGATTACATCTCCCGCTCTTGCCAGGTACTCCCAAGGCTGTTCGAGAACAAGCTCTACATCAAGGCGGTGAAGTGTGTTTTCCATGTTGACACAGTGAGTTTCATCATCCAGAGTGGGCAGGTGAAGACATACCCAAAGAAGATCAGAGCAGTAGCAGAGTGACCTTTGCCACCTAACCACCTTGGTTTCGCCAAATTCTACCTCAGCTTTATTAGGAACTACAGCTGAGTGGCAGTTCCCCTTGCCAGGCTCACTTCTGCCTCTATCCTGTTTTGCTGGACCCCAGAAGTTGATCAGGCATTCACCATCTAAAGGAACTGTTTACAGCAGCCCCTATCCTGGAGCAGCCTGTTACATCGTGCCAGTATATCCTCCAGGTTGATGCTTCCGACACCCGATTAGGCACAGTCCTCTCCCATAACACCCCCTGGAGTTCACATGTGGCACGGGTAGAGTAGACCCACAATTATCTGAACTGTCACCATTTGAGCCATTGCTGAGTTACCAACCGCCTCTGTTCCCTATTTAAGAGAGCAAGTATCGGTCACATTCACCGCTGCGACAAGGTTTGCAGGGACACTCAAGCTGCACTCCTCCGCTCCACTGCTAACAATGAATGGATTGCTGACCAACACCGGACCCCGGCTCATAAATACATACCAGGTCAGAGTGTATGACTTCCAAAAATATTCCCCTCAAAACTAAATCCAGAAAGTTGTCCTCCCATCATGTGATCACTGAAAAGATCAACCCTTGAGCAGTCAGGTGAAAACTTTTAAGTAACATGAGAATTCCCCTGCCTTCCTGCCTGCCTGCCTCACACTGCACCCAGGGGTCACTGGGACATCAATCTCTTTGGAATTGGGTTTGTGATATTAATTAAATCACAATAATCTGCTTACAGTATCATAATAAATCAGTTATTTCTTCCAACTTCTAAAGGGTACCAATCATATTTTCAAGCTATTTACTTGTTGATATGCTGCCACTGACACTTCCTATGCAGCCATGGAGATAAACAACAAAACAGTCCTAAATGGCGCATTTTACTTTAAGAAACTACCAGACTCCTTTGTTGACAAGTCAAAAGCAGTATGCACCTTGTGTGAAATGGAATTAAAATTTCACAGAAGCACTTTGAGCTTAAGCTACCATCAACGAGCTAAGCATGCAGCTAGTGCAGCTAATCAGCATGATGCTTGCGGACTGAGGCAAAGCACTATTTTAGAGAGTACAAGTCGCCACAGACCTGTGGATGAAACCAAATCGAAGAAACTAATGGGTGGCAACTAATTGCAGACCAGTCAACATTGTACAAGACTCGGGTCTTTGAGACTCACTATGGTTGGTCAGAACACGCCAACCATAGTGAGTACTATAGTGTCATATACATTGCCGTCGCGGGGGACAATAGTTGCACGCTTACATAGCCTGTATGAAACGGAGAAAGCAGCCAAACTGAAACTCCTACGAAAAGCAATTGCTATGTCATTAGTTTCAACTGAATAAAAAAAAATATGAATCTACAGCGTATTTTGTTTGTTATGCACTTAATGTGTGTACATTTTGTGCATACACTTTTGCTGTAGAATCTTTGAAAGCAAGCTTAAGGAGGACTTTATTACTGAAGACATTGTTTTACCTCACTCTCGTTGCACATCTTTTGATTTGCAATAATCAAGTAAATCTAAAAGTCAGGTTTATAAGCTAACTTTCTTTGCATTATTTTGATTCCCAATAAAGATACACTGGTAAGAATTGTTTACATTGTTAATACAGACAGTTAAACAGTTAAGAAATGCAAAATAATAGTATTTTAATCATGTCATAAAACATGCGATTAATCATGATCACTATTTAAATTTTGTAATTAATCACGATTAAGAATAAAAATCATCTGACAGCCCTAGTATTTAGTCTATGCAGAACAAATATAGGCTACACACTGTAACATCTAAGTCAGATGAGCACTAGATTGATTCTGATCTATTAAAAGAATCCTGCCGTTGTGCAGAGCATGGCTTTTTTTGATTGAAAATGATTTCTTTTCTCTAATTTACATTGGTTGCTATTTGTTTTATAGTGATGCCTGACTATGAATTCAACAGAATGTCTCCACTGAGACTGAGCTTGGCTTTTACTCAATTGTTATTTTTTAAGCATAATGAGAGAGTTAATATGGGTGGATAACGCAATCCTTCTGGGCTTCACAAATGCTGCACAGGTCTCTCTCTATATACAGGCTTACCCTACTTCATCCAACAATGTGCTGCTCCTGTGTTATTGCCACAATTATTCTTTAAACTGTAAAGAGTATGCTTTAGGAATAAACATATTGTATTGCCTGAGCTATTGGAGAAAGCAAATCATATGCAGTGCACTTCATATGTGTTTTGGTTGGCTACATGTCCAGATCAAGCTAACAACAGATACAGACAACAATAGTAGGCTAGGCAGATAGGAAGTGTGATATTTCAAATGATGATGAATCTTATCAATAACTTCATGTAGATAAAAGTAAAATAACTGTATTAAACAGAAACAGCTTAACTAGATAATCATCATGCAGCGAAGCAAAATGCATTGCATTGAAATAACCATATTGCAGAGTGGCTATTTCTAACCTTGTGCACAGCGAGAGTCATTTCTTATGGGGACAGATTTTCAGTATTCTGCCCACCATTGAATTCAGACCACTGACAGCACTCTCCTCCACCATCATTAAAACACCAAATGAAGGAATATCTTTTGGAAGAATGCTGTTCATCAGTCTAGTAGAGTTCACAGACTTGGGGAATTTGAAAAAAATTACCTCTCCTCCTCCAGCATGGTCCCTCCTGGATGGTGTAGGAAAGGTCGACAAACTCCAGGTCCACGGCTGAGCGTTTGGGTAGGTGGGAGAAACGCTGCGCTTCAGTGATCTGGTTCTCAATCTTCTTCAGGTGGGTCAACATTGCTGCTTCCTGCTGTTGCTGAGGCTGGCCTCCTCCATTACACATGATGGCCTCCTCCATGGGGATACTCACAGCCTCAGGTTCCAAAGCCTTATTGTCCATACCAGCTCTCTGTCTGTGGGAGGAAGGGTAGGGAAGAGCATGTGCGTATATAATACTACCTCATTAACAAGAGCGTGAAAAAAACATTGAATTTCCCCCTGTAGGATTAATAAATGTGAATAAATATATATAAATAAGTTTTCATCTTATTCAAAGAGAAGGATACAAGGTTGTAAAGGTAAGAAAGTCAAAATCAGAAAAAGAACAGAGGTCTGTCATGCTTCATTATCTTCTGACATGTCTAATTTTATACCTGCAGCTTGCTAGCATATTTGGAGCTCATTTAATAAAAGTTCATACTGAAACAACAAAACAGCACGACACTTCAGCCAGTCGGCAGCCTAAAATAATCTCTTTGGATAATTGACATTTTTTACCCTGTACAAAGCAAAGTTTATTTCTAACAAAGTAAGTGTAGAGATCACAAAAGAGTGTGACAGTTGATTGCCGTGACCATGAAGTGTAATTGCAGTTGAAAGTAATAAACAAATACAAGGTTGCCAAAAAATATCCACTGGGAAACTTGCCAAAGCAAACACAGCTTGGACCTACATGTTTGGATTTTTAAAAATATGTCAGAAGTTGAGCTTTGAAAAAAATAAATAAAACAACTCTGTCCACACTTAGGCTGGCACTTTTTCTCCATTTTCACAGCTGTAAGTGTTGGCATTGAAGGAAGGACAAAACAGAGAGAAAGGGTTTCAAATGCATTGCTTTTGTGGTGGTGACATGACCTTACTACCAACAGATCATGACTACTATACACATACAAAATACTCACACAGGCTCACATAGATATAATATATATAAACATGCAGAACTTAGGAAGTTCAGTATGTCGTTCAACTTCCAGAGAGATGATCTGTTTAGATAAAAGAACAGCAACAACAAACTGTAGAACCCAGAAAATATGCCTTTGGTATTTGATTTCTATACAGCACACATATGTAGACATTTCATGGTGCTGCAGAAAGAATGCTAAAGGAAAATGCGAATAAAGCTATATATAATAGCTAATAATAGCTGGGACTAGCTGAGGGTAAAGTGAGGTGGGTGTGACTTCCAATCAAACGTTCAGCATAGATGAAGACTTAGTGTATTAGCAACACTCCCAATCCCAAAATATTTGAACAGTGATGCAATTTGGCTGTATATTCCAGAGTGGTTTTGATTCAATTCAGTTTTATTTATTTAGCGCCAATTCAACAACAATAACAGTTATCTCTGTGCCTTTCATATAAAGTGGGTCTAGACCGTTACCATTTACAGAGACCCAACAATTCCGACCATTAGCAAACACTTTGCGACACAGGCAAGGAAAAAACCTTGGCAGAAACCTCGAGCAGAACCATGGCTCAGGGTGGGCGGCCATCTGCCTCGACCGGTTGGGGAAGAGGCAGATGAGAGAAAGAGCGACAAAATCCACACAGAAATACAGACAGTAAAGGTAGTAGTACTGAAAATGAATAATGGTAAAGATAATTATAGTAAAGTTAATGATAATAATAACAATAGGACTAGTAACAGTTATAGCAGCAGGTGTAGAGCAGGAACATGGAGGCAGCAGATGACTCGCAACCACAGATCCAGACCCCACAGCTCTAGAGCCAGAATTACTGCATTTCTGGCTCTGTACAACACAACTGCCCCACAACCATCTCTCTCTCTCTCTCTCTCTTTCTCTCTCTCTCTCTCTCTCTCTCTCTGGACACAAGTAGCATGCACGTAACTCAGAAGAGAGTTCGTGGTCCGGTGGATTCAGGTGTAAGAAAGGAAATTTGTGAGCAGATGATAGCAAGGTAGAGAAGAAAGAGCACCACATGTTTATAATTGCTTTTTGTAGAGCTTTTTCCATTCACCGCAGCTCCGTCAACAGCAGAACTGTGACGACAGCTGCTCTAGAGTGACTTCAAAGTCGCATCAATTCCGACCTGATTATCCAGACTCCAGTTGCATTTAAAAAGATCCAATCTGTATCGGATTTGGACCACATATGAAAGTGGCCCAAATCCGAACTGGAAAAGATTCCATGTGACTTGGCTTGTTCACATGGTCATAAAAAAGATCAGATCTGAGTCACATAAGAACAAGAAAACAGATTTGGGTCACTTTGGCCAGCAGTCTGAACGTAGCCTAATGGATGGATGGTTCAGGACTCACAAGAGCCAGTCCTAACTTTAAGCTTTATCAAAGAGGAAAGTCTGAAGCCTACTCTTAAATGTGGAGATGGTGTCTGCCTCCTGAACCCGAACTAGAACCTGGATCTCTCTGGCTCCCATTCTACTTTTGGAGACTCTAGGAACCACAAGTAACCCTGCATTCTGGGAGCGCAGTGCTCTGGTGGGGTAGTAAGGTACTATGAGCTCTTTAAGATAAGATGGTGCCTGAACATTAAGAGCTTTGTAGGTAAGAAGAAGGATTTTAAATTATATTCTGGATTCTACAGGGAGTCAGTGCAGAGAAGCTAAAAAAAAAAAGTAAGCAATGACTAGAGAGCAGATGGTCTGCTTTAATTTGATATAGTTCACCTCACTGATTATGAAAATTACATCTCTGATCAGTGGGCCAGCTAGGAATTAATCATTTTCAGCCACACTAGCCATGGCTCTAGGGATGGCAGTATCCATTGGTGCACCACTTATACAAACTGAAATAAATATGTAGCAACTATTGCCTTGTACAGACATTCATGTTTCCCACAGGATCAATTGTAATAACTTTGGTGAGCCATGTGACCCTCATCATGTCATTCCCATAAACCTTTGCCAATTAACAAATGTTTGCATACAAACATGATTACCTAACATTTTGAAAATGGTAAATATTACCTGCTTAACATCAGCATGTCAGTATTATTACTGTATGTGAACTTTAACGTGTAGCTCAGAGCAAGGCTGTGCAACCTCACAGAGCCTCTGGCATGGCTGTAGACTATATTTGTAGATAATTATAACTAAATTTAAGAATTCATATATTCATATCAACAAAGACAGATCCAGTGACAACAACCTATGCAAGCACTAATCATGTAAAGACCATGTTTCAGAGAGCAAGTGTGTCTCAGTCTCACCAGTGCTTCACTGACAGGCACACACATAAAGCAACCAAGTGGCAGAGACAAAGTGCTGGATGCCTGCATAGTGCTGATGATGCAGAGACAGTGGTGAGTAACAGTATGTCTCAGTAGGCTGTATGTCTGTGTGTGAGAGAGGGGTAGAGAGAGAGAGACAAGTACAAATGAGTACAAACCCATTGCCTGGAAAGTACAGACAGCTCAATATTACTTATGATAAAGATGTTTGTAGTCAGGCCTCTGATAGGTGTGAAACAAATCAACATTGTCTCGTATAGATTACAATTCAGTTGGTTTCTGCCTGGATTAGGGTTATAGGAAGTAGTGTGATGTTCTTATACAGTAGTAGTGAAAAGTCATAGAGAAGAGACATCAGTGGATGGTTGTGTGTACAAAGTACTTTAACAGCACAGAGCAGTAGCTGCATTCTGTCAGCTACTTCACAAGTTACAATGTTGTTTATTAATCATTATACAGCACAAGACTGCATAACGAAATGAAATTCGTAGTTCCTTCAATTGTAGGCCTATATTAAAATATGGTAACATATAAAATAAAAGTAGTGTAATTTTTCAACGCTAAAGGTAGGTGCTGGATATTTAACAAAAAAGTCTGAGTAAGGAGGTGGACGTGTCGGCCAAAAACTGAACTTTCGATCAGGAGACTGGTATTTTTTCCAGACTCAACACTGAATGTTTTTATTACCTTAGAAAGTGCTGTTTCTATCTACATACACTGTGGGAGCCCTTACACGGAAATCGCTGTGTTGCGCTGCCATGTTTCTACAGTAGCCCAAAAAGACAAACTGCTGTACACAGCACATTTCGTCACTGATGAACAAGAACGAGAAGAACAACAAGAAGAAGAAATTGTAGTCGTCTGGTTTATTAGAAGTAAGAAGAGAGGTGAAATATGGACAAATAGGACCACACGTATTATTTAGCACAAGTGCCAACAGAGCGTGCTGGCCACCGTAGCTTCTCCTGCACACTTGGAAAGGGAGGGGTGAGCGGTGACTGATGGGGCATTCATGTGGTGTCGGAATAATCAAATTATTCTTTTTTCTCCTTAAATCTGTATTGCAAGAGGAATAAAGTGTACAGTGGACATTAAGAAGTATACAGAACAGTATACAAATATATAAGAAGACAATTAACACTTGGTGTAGTCTTAACCCTTGCTTGCAATAACTGCCTCAAGCCTGCGACCCATCGACATCACCAAACTGTTGCATTATTTGTGATGCTATTCCAGGCTTTCACCGCAGCTTCTTTCACTTCTTGTTTGTTTCGGGGTGTTTCTCCCTTCAGTCTCCTCTTAAGGAGGTGAAATGCAGCTCTGTTGGGTTAAGGTCAGCTGATTGACTTGGCCAGTCTAAAACCTTCCACTTTTTCCCCTGATGAAGTCCTTTGTTTTGTTGGCAGTGTGCTTTGGCTCATTGTCCTGCTGCATGAGAAACTTCCTCCCCATTAGTTTCAATGCATTTCTCCGGCAGACAAAATGTTTCTGTCCACTTCTGAATTCATTCTGCTGCGACCATCATCAGTTACATCATCAATAAATATTACTGAGCCTGTTCCAGGAGCAGCCATGCACGCCCAAGCCATGACATCACCTCCACCATGCTTCACAGATGAGCTTGGATGCTTCAGATCATTTGGCCTTTCCATCACTTTGCTAGAGATTAATCTTGGTCTCATCAGTTTATAGGTTTGAACCAAGGATGAAAACTTAGACTAGTCATGCAGAGCTATTTAATGTTTGGACAATCAACCTAAAAAGGCAACACCTGGGCAACAAGAAACATCTGGCAGTCACATGTTCCAATAGTTCACTTGAAACATGGGTGGGTTCAAACAAAGGGTGATATGTCCAGAGTTGTTTAACACATCTAGATGTGAATACCAGGAAATAAAAGCTGAAATTCTGACCTCATGTCT